TACATCTGTATGCCAAGCCTTTGTGAGGTAAAATGGTGCAGCTACACATCACTAAAATCCTGTTGCCCTAGAGTTTGCTATTCATATGTGAAAGCACCCCCATTTTGTTCTTATTTTCAATTATTGAACATGTGTCTATGGAATCTTAATTAATAGAAAAGATTATGGCAACGTGTCCTTTCCTTAGAGCCATGAAATATAATTTCCATTTCCCTCAAACAACCAGGTACACTCGGTTCCTCTCTTGCAACTCTTAGATGCCCTGTATTAGCTAAAGGGCATAATCCTGACCATAATGGATGCCTATGATGTCTGTGTCCAATTTCTGCTAAGGGCAAATGTTACTATGGTCCATTGGCGGTTGGGTCTGTTTCTACAATATTATGTACCTCAGCTTTTAAACATTCTCTTCTTCCATCAACACTTAATCTATGGAGATAATGGTATTGTGCTGTGCTGATGTCCTCCTTGACTGACCATGCTGTGATTTGCCCATGCGAATACTTCAACAGGCCATGAGATTATGCATCTGTACAGAATATCTTCTTCTTAATCATTTTTATTGGTTTTACATATACAAAGTTATAAGCGAAGAATCGTAAAGTATATTCATATAGAGATTCCTCCAAATTTCAGGACTTCCCTCCATCCCCTCCACGGGGTCCCATTTTAAACATTTAATACTGTACTACATATTCTTCCACACTCCAAATTTTATATCAAACCATATTATCCATGGTAATTTTAACACTACAAGTAAAGTTAAAATTCTGCTTTTGTTTCCATCTGCTTACAGTGGTCTCCTAAATAGCTTATAATTTTTTCCCATTCTTTTATAAAGTTTTTGTCCTCTTGGTTTCTGAGTGTTCCTGTCAGTTTTGCCATCTCAGCATAGTCCATCAGCTTGCTTTGCCATTCTTCTCTGATAGGGACTTCGTCTTCTTTCCATCTTAGGGCTGGTAGCATCAGGGCGGCTGTTGTTCCATACATAAAAAATCTTTTCTGCTCCTTTGGTATGTTGGTACCTATAACTCCTAATAAAAAGGCTTCTGGGTTCTTAACAAAAGTTATTTTCAGCACTTTTTAAATTTCATAATATATCATCTCCCAGAAAGCTTTTATTACCTTACATGTCCGCCACATATGATAAAATGTACCTTTTTTCATTTCCAGCAGATATTATAACTTGTCCTATACATTTTTGCATAGAATATCTTCTAAATAAAAGGTAAAGGGACCCCTGACCATTAGGTCCAGTTGTGGCCGACTCTGGGGTTGCAGCGCTCATCTCGCTTTATTGGTCAAGGGAGCCGGCGTACAGCTTCCGGGTCATGTGGCCAGCATGACTAAGCCGCTTCTGGCAAACCAGAGCAGCGCACGGAAACGCCTTTTACCTTCCCTCCAAAGCGGTACCTATTTATCTACTTGCACTTTGATGTGCTTTCGAACTGCTAGGTGGGCAGGAGCAGGGACCGAGCAACGGAAGCTCACCCCGTCGCGGGGATTCGAACCGCTGACCTTCTGATCGGCAAGTCCTAGGCTCTGTGGTTTAACCCACAGCGCCACCCGCATCCCTTTTATCTTCTAAATAGGTTTGGGTTATTGTTACCACCATCACTGACATACCTTTACCCTGAGTGACAACAAGTGTGGTGGGCGAGTGGCGTGTTTCTCCCCTCCTGGCAGCAATGCCACTATGTTTGCTTATTTATTTAGAAGATTTGCACCCCACCTACCACTGGACTGAGAGGTCCTCAAGGCAGCTAGCAAAAGACCGTAATAACATGAATGCATATACACAAACTGAGCTGGGGATGGCAAGGGGTTGGGGTAAGCTTCCTGCAGCTATTCCTTCTCTGGCCAACTGGAAAGGTCAAGGCTCACCTTCAAACTACCATGATGTTCTTCCTGGAGGTCTGAGCCTGCAACCTCCCCATTATCTTTGGTTCCCTGCCCATAAGCAGAGACCTAAGTGTCCTTCCTTTTGGAGAAAAGCAATGGGGCACATCCCCCAGGCAAGTGTGGTCCTCCAGGCCTACAGAATTTGGCATCTCCTTCTCAGTCCTTGACTGTATTACAAAAATACATAAATCAGTAGCCTTCAAGTTAAACTCCAAGATCAAATTTACAGAGAGTCTCCACCCCTTGATTTGCTCTTTATAAAACACAACTTTCTCCCTTTCCACCTTCACTACCGGGGAGTAACGGGATCAGTGATGCATCTGTGGCACGGTTTCAATAGTTGTGGCTTCGCCTTCTTCATCCTGTTCTTGGGTCTGCTTCTCCCAAGTATCACAGGAAGGGAACTGAAGTATGTTGTCTTGGTAAGCGTGAGGTCTTCTTTTCATTGCTAACAATGACCTTGACAGTGTTGATCTTTGCTGTTCTTCTTTCTAAATTATGTTCCTGTGAATAATTTTATGCATTTTAATATGCTAAGTAGAATTTTTTTCCAGAAGGTTTCTGAAATTTCTGAGCTTTTTCTCTTCCCTCCCCCCTTAAAAAAGACCACTAGGAATATCCCACCCCTATCCCCTATTTCTAACCAGATTTTGTGGTTGCCATCTTTCCATTATTCCCATCCCACACAATGCTTTTGATGAATGATGCTAAGTACCACCACACACAAAAAGCATTGTTTAAAGGATAGGGTATAAAATGTCTAAACGAGCAAGCAAGTATACAAACCAGAGCTTGAACAAAAATATTGTCTAATTGAATTTAAACTCTTGGTTTTTCTGGTCAGCTTTATGAAGAACACACAATGGGCTTGTAAGTGTTCAGTGCATTCAATATTTCACTTGACATCTGAATGTCAATGCCCAACGGTCAGCGGATTTTGCAATGCATGTTTTCTGAATATGAGAAAATGTTATATTCCCCTTTTGCTTCCTTTTTCCAACTGTACAGCACTAAAGTTGCATGCAAACTATCACTTATTCTTAGCAGCACACAACAGTATTGTTGACAGTCTTCCTTTGATAGATACCCACCCTCATGAAGTATTCCTGATGATTTTGAATACATATTTTCTTTCTTCCATTTCCCCCAGTTTGAATTATATGAAATGCAAAGTGTAGTACAATAAGATATAAGACATGAAAGAAGCACTAGAAATATAATTAAAAATTATACAGCACAGAGCAGATTGCAAGCACTACAGTAGTTAATAAAAACCATTAAGTGGTCCACCAAGACCATCAGCAGTTTTCAAATGGTCCAGGAGAAACCACTGCTCTAGAAATTCCTGACGTACATTGTGTTCTCCTCTCAAAAGGACAAAAACTAAATTCAATATACAGCTGTATTAGCGAATCCCCTTCAACCTCTCACCCCTGCACAGAATTGCAGAGGCACAGGACCACTAGGAGATATTCTGGCGGCTTTTTCATAGTGCATTTCTCTGATAGACGAAGGCGATAATATTATAGCCACTTACTTAAAAAGCAGGACTTGCTGAAGTCAAGTCATTGGGACTTCTGAGTAGACAGGTATGGGGTAATGTTGTGAGAGGGTTGTGTGCTTCACATTTAGAGCAGCAGCAGGGCAGCTAATATTTCATTCTGATAGATTGCATCCAATTCTATTTTCTTGAAAACTAATGCAATCTTCAAAACATTTCACCAGGTTTACCGGCATGGCGACAGAAGCCCTCTTTCAACTTTTCCCACTAATGTGGTCAAAGAAGATGTCTGGCCACAAGGATATGGAGAGCTCACAACGGTCTGATAATGCTCTAAGAAATGAAAACATATTTTGTTGATTTGTTTGCCTTTATATAATACTCATTAAGATACTAACTATTAGTTTTATTATTTTATTTAACAGAATGGCTATACTGCTCAAACGTCCAAATCTCTACAAAGCTTCTGAAACTTCTGAAACGTTGTTATTTATTATTTCAGGCTCCAATAATAGCATTGCCCATTTCAGTACAATGTACACAAACAGTAATATAATTTATGTATGGTCCACTAACCCAAATTACAGAATGTTAACTACACATTTTTTTAAAAAAAAAAAAGCAAAGAGCAATCATAGTCTAAGGTCAATTGCAGCATTTAGAAATTTTGCAACGTTCTAATCCGTGTGCTGCGCTGGTGCTGGCTCGCCAGAGCAGCTTTGTCACGCTGGCCACGTGACCCGGAAGTGTCTCCGGACAGCGCTGGCCCCCGGCCTCTTAAGTGAGATGGGCGCACAACCCTAGAGTCGGACACGACTGGCCCGTAAGGGCAGGGGGGTACCTTAATCTTTTGCTGCTGTTGAGCATGGGTTCCATCTTCCTCACCCCAGACTGAGTCCTTATAAACGACACTTCCTCATGAGGTAGTGTTGTTCCAAGAATATTGCTGTGGGCGAGAAGGGAAAAGCCATGCATCAAGCAGGATGTGGAATGGCAACAAAACAGTGTTTAGAAGAAGAAAACCTGATGCCACCATCATAAGCCCCTGCACAACGAAGAGCAGTGAACATTTTACTCCCAGGCTGCAGAAGTTGCCAAAACACAGCTCCCACTATCATAGTCCGCAGTTTGGGCTGTGAATGTAAATGGCGTTCATAACCCAGCTCTAGAACAGTGCCAGTGATCTGAGAGCTACAGCCATATCAGCACACATCCATAACTTGTAACAGAATCTGGTCCAGCCTCTTTTTTCAGTCTTGGAGACCTGCCACAAATCTAGATGTTAACCTTGTTCTCCTGGTGCTGCGGAAAGGAACAGGCCAAAATCCAGAGCTTAGCTTTTTCATGATGGTGTAATGTACACCCAACACCGCGAGCCTAGAATACACAAAGTGTTCCTTTATCCGTTGAAATAGTCAGAAGTAGCTTGGAGGGGACGGTAAATTGCATCAATGAGTTTTACATGCATACTTTTCCTTTTCCTTTTCCCACAGCGTGGAATGCAGCAGCAATACTTGTTGGGTCAACTCATAAAGGACAGATATAAGCACTTCTTAAGTGATGAATACAAGCGAAAGGAAGCAAGTATTGGAACTAACTTCCCCGTTTTCTCAGCAATAGCATTTATACTAATATAATGTTAGGGTCAAACTATGATAATAATAATAATAATAATAATTAAAAAAATAAAAATAAAATTTTATTTATATCCTACCCTCCCCAGCCAAAGCCGGGCTCAGAGCGGCTAACAACAGTAAAAGTAACACAGTTTACATAAAATCACAATCAATTAATTGAAATACATTCTAAAATCAATTCATTCTAAAATGCCGCTTAGCTATGGGTGCGTTTCCCCATGCTTGTTGGATTGGGACAAGCAAATAGAAGCAGAAGTGTAGTGATTTCCACCATGTGTTCAAAATTTACTCATAATTGCAATCCCCACAAGCCTAGCAGCATCCGCAGTGACTTTCCATCGCCAACCTTTCCCCTCCTTACAATGGCTACTATGATCATTGCAGCAGAGAGGGCGAGAGAAGGTGAAAGACCCTGTCTTTCCTTTCCCGTGTCCTCCTGGTTCTGTCCCTCCCCTCCCACTGGATTTCCAGTTAGGAGATGGGGCACAGACAGAAAAAGAAGACAGCAGTCACCAGAACAGCAACCCTGAAAGTGGGTTGGTGTGGGTATGCAAGTTAGATCTAAACCTCCCCCTGTGGAAAACAACCATCTAGGATCAAAATAATAATACCATCCTGAGCCACTCTTTCATTTTATCCTTCTCAGATTTATGTCCGAAGTACAGATTATGATCGAACCATTATGAGTGCTCAAGCCAATCTGGCCGGACTCTTTCCTCCTAAAGGAAACCAAATCTGGAACAAAGAGATCGCTTGGCAACCAATTCCAGTTCATACTGTGCCACGTTCAGAGGAAAGGGTAAGGAAATGTGTGGTATTTTTAACCTTTTCCACTCCCAGTTCAATGGAAACATGGCAACCTGAGAGGTGAATATTTCACTTAAATAGAGAGATAAATAGAGATAAGAGAGAGAGAGAGAGAGAAGTCTTGGAGTTATGATGCAGCGTTAGAGCTTCTATTTGCAAAAACCAGCTGTAAAGGTAAAGGGATCCCTGACCATCAGGTCCAGTCGTGGCCGACTCTGGGGTTGCGGCGCTCATCTCGCTTTATTGGCCGAGGGAGCCGGTGTACAGCTTCCGGGTCACGTGGCCAGCATGACTAAGCCGCTTCTGGCAAACCAGAGCTGTGCACGTAAACACCGTTTACCTTCCCACCGGAGCGTTACCTATTTATCTATTTGCACTTTGACGTGCTTTCGAACTGCTAGGTTGGCAGGAGCTGGGACCAAACAACGGGAGCTCACCCCGTCACGGGGATGCGAACTGCCGACCTTCTGATCAGTAAGTCCTAGGCTCTGTGGTTTAACCCACAGCGCCACCCGCATCTCTCCAAGGGCCCATGGACCAAGGCCATGGGCATGGGGAAGGTAGTCTGTGACGGCACTTGGAGCTTAAATGCACCAGCAGAAGTTACAGTGTGCATTAAAATCCCTGCTCGGAGGGGCACGCTTGACCCTTGCTGCAGTCACACTCAGACTCTGAGTAAGGAAAAGAAGAACGTGAAGTTTATTGTAGAAAATATTTGTTGGATACCACAGATCCTAGGTGCAGCTGAGGTAAATGTACAAAGAACCATGCTTGCTCTTCCATCTCTGCAGTAGAGCGAGAAAGGAAAAATAACTCCTCTCAATGGTGGGGTGAAGAAGGAGGAAGTGAGGTCAGCAGCCCTGAGAGTATCAGTCTGAAGAAAGGTCAGCACTGAAAGTCTAGCAAGCATGGAGGCTCTACTTTCTATCTCCATGCAAACCCACCAAGCCTTTAGCACAAGCCGCCCCTGACCAAGGCAACTTTTTGCAACAGAAAAAGTGGGAGTTGTAATCCCACGCTACTGACTGGTTGCTCTTCAAGCATCTTCCCACTAATAATCTGAATTTAGGATGGACATGTGTATTATACACAGGCAGATGACAATATGAGGAGGTCTTTTTAGCTGATATGTTTCATTTCATTTCATTAGTTGTTGCATTATCCTGTTCACGCTCCATGTCCAAAGTTTGGTCAGCTTCTAAAGGAAACTTTTGGATCCAAAACAGTCCAGGAAAAACTGAAAAATCAAATGGTAAGAAATGGAAAGGGAAAATCTTATGGCTGCAATCCATGCGAGTAAATCCCACTGAAATCTATAGTGCTTACTTCTGAGTAGACATACCTCAGAATGTGCTGGGAATGTCTGATAAGACAGCCAAATGCTCTTTTGTTCCTTTCCTCCTATCCTCTCTGAAGTGGAACAATAAAATTCAGGACAGATGTAGAAATGTCCAGTCACAGGCAGCCCACTAATAAGAAACTCCCCATTTGCATGGGGGTTGCGTTCCTGGCGCCCATGCGCATTGCTGGAGCATGCATAAGCCCACCCCACCTCATTAAACCCCATTATGCCCACACTCCCACCCCCGTTCCATTCCCTCTTCTGGCCACAAGATCCGCAACAATGAGTGTGTGCACAGAGGTGAATCAATCGGACACACGTAAAATGGTCGCTGTCTGTACTATTTCACAGATGTGGAACACTGAGACTGGTGTCACTATCACCAGTTGTCAGGAGCACTTTTCTTTCAAAGCAGCCAGTAATTTCCTTTGACCACCTGTTCCCACCTGTGATAAGGAGGACTGCAGAGATAAGATGGGCTTTGGCTGAATGTGGATTTTTCCAGCTTGTGGTAGCATCCCACCTGGAAGTAGTAAGAGGTTGGAAGTGTCCGTATTGGCAACTTCAAGTTGACTGGAGCTCAACAAACCCACCATTCATATCCTATGTCTCCAAGGCAATCTAAATCTTTCCCATCTCGCAGTCGAAATGACCATTGCGTGGGTCTGCCTTTGAAGGCTCTTCCGAAGCTGTAACCTGACTGGTGCAGAACAATGGCGGTCAATTTTATTTCTGCTGCTGTCTTCAGGGGCCATTGAGCATGCTCAAAAGCACTCTGGTTGCCTATTAACGTCTTTGTTATGTACTGAGTTGAATAGGATCCAAAATGCAGCAGTCTGATTGGTCCTAGAACAATAGGATTCAGAATGCAGCAGTCTGATTGGTCCTAGAACAATGCAGCAGTATGATTGGTCCACAGGAGCCACCCTATCCAGCTCCAGGCGGAAGTGAATCCGCAACCTGATTGGCCTACAGGAGAATCCCGGAATTAACCAATCACGTGCAGCCCATTTTGTAAATAATGTATATAAAGCAGATATTTGGGGAGAACTTTCATTCCTCAGGACTATGAGCTGAATAAAGAGCATGAAATCCACACTCGACTCTGAGTATATTTCAATCTTGTTTGCCAATAGCTTTCAATCCCCTTGTGCTCCTTAAGATCAAGCTCTGAAAGCCCACCATTTAATTCTGTCCTCTAAGATTGGGGGCTACTGCAGCACCCCCCACATTATGGAACTGGCAGGGCAAAACTCTGCCCCATTAAAAAATGGCAGTCACTGCAGGATCAGGCCCTACCATTCATTTGCACTTACTGGTTCATTAATCCTTCTGCTCTTTATCTTTCAGCCATTTCTAGGTCAATTAGCATCTAGCCTGGGATACGATATGAAGGCTCTTCTGGATTTTAAGAGTCACAAACTCTGGAATGCGTACGATGCTTTACTTGTTCAGGTAATTTCTAGTAAACCTATATGAAACTCATTCATCCCCAACAAAACAGACCAAGGGGTTTAGGACGAGGTCAGGTGGCACATGGCAGATAAAAGCCACACTTGTGGCAAGGTCATTAACGATCCTGCTTTCAATATTATTTGTGCTGGAGGCTGTTGTAACCATAGTAGCAGAAGCTGCAGTGGTCCTTGCTAGCTAGGGGTGATAGAAGTTGTAGTTCAACAACATCTGGGGACCCACAGGTTGAGAAAGGCTGGTACACACACACAAAACCACACACACACCTCTCTATGCTCCATATAAGAGACATTATCAGAAATCAAAGACACATTTCAGCCAAGCTAAAACACCCCTTTAGTTAGGCAGAGACCTATTCTCCCCCCCACAAAAAAGGGGAACTTCTAGACTGAGTTCATCAACCCAGTTGGGACTGTGTGTTTTTTTTCTTTAACTGCCATAGACATGGGGCTGGGAGAGGAGACCTCAAAAACCTATGTAGTCTAATTCTAATCCTACAATTGTGGAAATTTATTTAGACCAAATCCCTCTCATTGTAATATTGGTTTTATTAGCTGGCTGTGAGCCATTTTGTGTGGGCCCCAATGTGGCATGGAATGGGTTTTCCTATACAGAAACATGAAGGTCTGTGAAACAACAGAACAGATGAGAGTGAGAGAGCAAAGGCATGGCTGATAGATGAATCACCACCCGCTTTTATTTCTTTTCAACTGTAGAAAAAACATAAGCAGCCATTACCAGCCTGGGCTACTGACGAAGTCATGGACAATTTGGAAGATCTTTTGGCATTTTCCTTAAATGCAATGTTTGGGATACACGAAAGAGAAAAGAAATCACGACTACAAGGAGGTAAGAAAAAGCAAAACAAAGCCCACATCTTTCTATATGGCATGCATATTATCTAAAGGAAGAGCAACTAACTTATCTTGGTTCAAGGGCTGCATTGAAGGCTGGACACTCAGAGAGAACAAGTGCTGCGTGCCTCATGTGTAGACACAAAGGATGGATCTAGACTCATTAACAAACGTTTCAGGAAAACGTATTATAAAGCTTATAGTGAGAAGTCATGTTGCCAAAGGGTCCAACTCTACAGCGCCATCTGGTGTCCCAATGTTATAGTGCATTTAAAACACTTCCGGGGGCCACTAGGGGGCGCATCGGAAGATGGCTGACAATAACATCTCTCCGACCCACACGAGGTAATTTGGAGGCTATGATGGGAGTAAATTAGCCTCCCTAACCCCCCCAGGACGGTGGGGGGGACTGCCTTTGCCTGTTGTGCCCTATACCACCCCCGAACTTGTGGGGATGGGGGCACTAGGCACAAAGCCCTCCTGTGGGATTCCGGCACTCCTGGACGCCGTCCCTGATTTGCGCCACTAGCTGCAAGAACTTCAAAAGAAAACAATTTGAATGAAGGACTGCACATCTTTCAAGGAAGGAGGGAGTAAAGACTGCTATAGAAGAGATCTCTGATAAAACAAGACAAGAATAAAACATGAGAAGATACGCCAAGACACGGTATGGCAAATGACTGATGGGGAAGGGGAAAAACTTTCCTTTCTTTTCTTATGTGATTAACAAGAATCCCCTCCCCTCACGAGTCACGAGTCAGAAATGTCGTTTTAAGGACTTAAGCTGTGGATTTAAGGCTGTGTGGAGATAAACTTTCGAACCAAAGCATGTTTTAAGAAGAGCGAGGAATGTATAAGAGCTTGGGAATGACGCAGTTAAAAATGCCGTCGCCATATTGGGAAGTTCTGTCGGAGGTCTTGAGTCTGGGAGGAGAAAGAGAGAAATAGAGCTGTTTATATATTGTGGGTGAAACTCCTCAGAGGGACTTAAGAGCGACAGCTTTGCGAGATGGAAAGAGCGATGTTATCTATGAAGGCAATGATATATGGAAACCATCTCTATTTGAGGAATAGAAGAACGGAAAATTCACACAGGATTATTATTAGTATTGGTGTTTATCGGCTTAAGGAGACTATCAGAAGAGATCATAAAGAAAAAAGAGAAAATATATAAACAAGATGTGATGTGGAAACAGCAAGATAAGACTGGATAGAATTATGAACTCTGTTTGGACTGATTTGGACATTAACGCAGTAGCAAGAAGATGATCAGAATCCCCCTTCGGATCTTGAAATATGGGTCCCCCCAACAAAATTTAAAATTTGGCTTTGTAATTCGGAATTTATGTGATGTGATTTAATTTGATTTGATTGGCCGGTTAATAAAAATTATTTAAAAAATTAAATAAATAAAACACTTCCTTCCGTTGCTAATGTAGCTGAGTCCGAAGTCACATTCCTATGTGTATATAGACCAACTCAGCACCCATATTGTATACCCGTCAACTGTCCCAATTGAATTGGGAGTATTACTAGAATGTTAGAACTTCTCTGCCCCAGCTGAAAACAAAGTCTTTGCCAATTTACTTTAACAATTGGTTAAAGATAGAAGGGCTTCTTGGTTTCACCAGCATTTGTATTCCTTTCCGTCACCATTAAGGTCTCCTTGTGAAAGATATTTTGAATAAGATGACAGAGGCTACTGAGTCCACTGATGGAAGAAAAATGTTAATGTATTCAGCCGTAAGTATGAACATTTTAAATTGACCAAACCTTCTGTAGCTCGCATTCTCCTGCTACTTTTTGGCTCCCCTCTTTAAGCAGACTATTTGGAAATGTGCTTTGTCTACTCAAGTAACATTATTTTTCTCCCTTTTATAGCATGATACCACAATAGTTGCTCTCCAAGTAGCACTCAATGTTTTCGACGTAAAGCTACCTCCATACGCCGCCTGCCTATTTTTTGAGCTATATAAAGAAGACAGTGGGTAAATATGAACTTGTATATTCAATAATTATCAGTGATTTATTGGGTAAGCATCTGCAAATTCACTCATCTTCTCAAACACAGTATTTCTTCTCACAATTCCTGCACTGCTGAAATGGGTCAAAAATCAGTTGCGTTCCCTCTGCGTTTGAGCTTGATGTCTGGCTGTTCAAAATGCTATTGAAAAATTATTTCATAGCTGAGTGGCTGAGGTGTGCATACCTTTGAAAGACAGAAAGGGGTTGAAAGGGTTGAGTCACACTTTGTGCCAAATCTACAATATTGATCATTGATGCAGAGCTGAGAAATCCCAATTAAATCATAATTACTTGAAACAGCAGGTTAGAATTGGGCAACAATGAAAAGGTGTCATGGGCCTCCCAAATGAAAGACTGAGAGATGCTCAAGAGAGGTTGTCTACCCACTTTTTCCTAACTTTTCTCGATTATTAAAGAAAAACAAGACTAAATTCCACAAAATATCCAATTTCATGAAAGGATTTCTTAAACCACATCCAAAACAATAGTGCAATTCTAGTCACACTTAATGGGTCATAAGCCCCACTGGGACTCACCTCTGAGACAACATGTGTATGATTATGCCTCAACGCACTTAATAGAGAAGAATCCCAACTGAACGCAATGAAATTTACTTCTAAGCAACTATGCCCATAATTGCACTGCCTGAAGGCTACATTCCTGGGCAGAATTCAACAAGGGCTGCCTGTAGGCATGAAATCCTTTGCAGGCTTACTTCAGAATAAACCCCATTGATATCTGTGGGACATATTTCTAAATATATATGCATGAAATAAATTGAACAACCAGGCAGCTTGCGACAAAGGGCTGGTTTTGCTTCTTTAAGTAAATCCCATCAAGATGATTAGCATTCAGTCGAGAAAATCAGCAACTTGTCTTGAGCCTTCCGTGGTTACCAATACAGAAGTCCACCCATCTTATCAGAAGACTTCTCAGATCAGTTCTTATGAAATGGAAGTGAGGCCTGGGTGATATATGGCTGCATCTTGTAGAAATGACTTCTTTCTTTGGCGATCACTCATAGCCGAGTAAGATTGTCTTACATAAACACGGTTTTAACAATGAAACCACAAGTGACTGTGGAGGCCAATTCTGGATGCACATGTCCTTCCACAGTGGGGACATTGGTTTCCAGGCGGGAATTGATCACGGTGTGGATTTGCCAAGCATGCCTTCCTCCTAGCATGTTTCTCCCTTGCGTCCTGAGTTCAAGTGTCTTCAAAGGCCACGACACCTTTGGTAAAGGCTGTTCTCCAACTGGAGCGCTTGCAGGCCAGTGTTTCCCAGTTGTCAGTGTTTATACTACATTTTTTTAGATTTGCCTTGAGACAGTCTTTAAACCTCTTTTGTTGGCCACCAGCATTACGCTTTCCATTTTTAAGTTTGGAATAGAGTAGTTGCTTTGGAAGACGATCATCAGGCATCCGCACAACATAATGCTCTTAATGACCTACACTTCTTCTTTTCAGTGAGTTCACCATTGAGATGCACTATCGGGCCCAAAAAAATCTTCCACCCCATGCTCTTGTTTTGCCGGGCTGTGAAGCGGCTTGCCCCTTGCAGAAGTTTAAAGAACTGGTTTCTCCTGTCATACCAGAGGACTGGCAAGCAGAATGTAATTCTTAATTTAGGATGGCATCATAAATGAGAGGTAAGATAGGTAGCAGGGTTGAAACGAACACATATAAAACCGATGTATCAACATTCAGTTTCTCAGCTTGACCTTCCTCACAACACCCCTATGAGGTAGATGAGGATGAATGGCCCAAGGTCAAACAGTGCACTTCATGAGGCTACCTTTGACCGTGACTCGGAAACTGCAACTAATCCCGAATGTGGCAGCTAAATTGGTGTCTGGGAGCGGCCACAGGGACCATATAACACCAATCCTGAAAGACCTGCATTGGCTTCCAGTATGTTTCCGAGCACAATTCAAAGTGTTGGTGCTAGCCTTTAAATCCCTACATGGCCTCGGCCCAGTATACCTGAAGGAGTGTCTCCACTGCCATTGTTCACTAAGGTCCAGCTCTGAGGGCCTTCTGGCAGTTCCCTCACTGCAAGAAGTGTGGTTACAGGGAACCAGGCAGAGGGCCTTCTCAGTAGTGGCCCCTGCCCTGTGGAACGCCCTCCCATCAGATGTCAAGGAAATAAACATCTATCTGACTTGAGAAGAGACGTTAAGGCAACCTTGTATAGGGAAGTTTTTAGCATATGATGGCCTCCTATGTTTTTATATTTGGGGAGGAAGCCCAGGACAACCAAGTCAGATGAACGGGATACAAATATTATTATTATTCAGGTACACATATGTATATATAACTTGTAATAACTATATGTGTATTTCCCGAAAAATATATTTCTAAATGATGGCAGTGTTGTTGGCCTTTTGACATGTTGCTATTGTCTCTCATCTTCTACCAGGGTGAAAAGTAAAATCAAAGAAAAGGCAAATGAGGAAATTAACATCCCCAGGAAGGAAAGTGAACAGCAAATAAGTTGTAGGACACCAGAAACACTGCATGACTGTTGATGCTTCCGTGTGATTCTCATTATTAGGCTTTTCATCTTCTCAGAAATTATTATGATCAAATAAATATCAAGCAAACAGATTCAAAAATTGACTTGAAAAACCCTGCCGTCTGCTGCATCATTTACAAATTAACGTGTATCTATATACTAAATCTAATGATGGGGGGGTGATGGTTTGTGAATGCTCTCCGCAAGAAATGCCTCTGCTCACTCAGAGATACATATATACATCCTTTATTTTACATATGTACAAGCAGCACACATAATCAAACATCCGAATCCTCTGGGTCAGATTCTCGGAGTGACTTACGTCCACCCCTTTTCCAGCAGAAGAGGCGAGGCATTCTCATGTGATGTCTCTGCCCCCTCCTCTTTAACACTCTCCTTTCCTGAGCAGATGGAACCGGCACTGCTTCGCTGTCCGTGCCAGAGCTTCCTGTGCGGTGTTGAGGCTCTGCTCCAACATCTGAGAGCCTTCCCTCCTCCTGAGTTTCCCTCCTTTCCTCCAATGCCACTTCCTGCCCCCCTTCCTCTACTTGTCTCTCCTCCTCCCCTGCGTTCTCCGTCAATACCATGACGGGGGGGGGGGTTGGTAACAAAAGCCTGGGGAGAGAGCAGCAATTGATTTTGCAACCTTATTGACAATATTTTTAAAATACTGCTTTTTAAAAAAAAAAAAGTTCAAATGTGCAATTGAGCTTCATATTCTTTTTTTAGAAGTCTATTTATCAAAAATGGTTAACATATTTTGGACATTACCCCCATATTCTTCAAATATCATTCTTATATAACTGTGAAAGTGAGCACTTGTACAGTTCCCATTCATTTCAATGGGTGTTAGGACTTTGAAGTCCCTGCTCCCATACAAGGTGTACAAGTTTTCTAGCCCCCTCCTCCCTTTTGCCAAATAAGATGAAAAGGAAACATAGGAATGTTTTGTCCTGCAGAGCATTTGCCTTCCTACTCAACTGAAACTGACAGGTGTTCCATCAACATCAGTGTCACCTTGTCCTTTAGATTTGTATTTGGCTTAATGCTGGTAACCTTGAACTTGTTTGTGTCTTTAACCTGCATTTTCCAAATTATTGACACCCTTAAATTTATTGATGTTATCAAAGCATTTAGACTCTGTTGTGTTATGGTAAATAATACAAATAATTCAGATTCTATATTCCCAAAGTCAACGATGACATAGCTATTAAGGATGTCCTTTCCTTCTCTGTTAGCTTTTGTTTATGTGACTGTTTCTTCCCTTTCACCTCCCTTTAGAGTTCTCAAACAGTAGATATATATCTACATATCCATATCTTTATCTATATATATATATAAACACACACACACAATGTGTGCATTTACCTGTAATGGGTTAAACAATGAAAGGGCAGTTAATCATGTTAAAATCTACAACTGCTCATCAAATCATATTGTGCTCTATAAATAATATAGACTTCTTCTGAAACAGTGGTTATCAGGCCATAATAATGGCTGCAAGCAAAGCATGCAGAACAAATGTATATAGTGAATGGTTATTCCAAATCATTCCAAACTGATGAAACAGATTGTAAAAAAAAACACATGTTAATCACTAGATGTCATTATTTAAAATATCAAACTAAGGTCAAATGAAGATGTTCCCACAGAACTTTACTCCAGAATTTCCACTTTCCCCCCACTCGTGTTTTATAGGGAAGTTATATGACATTAAAGGGAGTGGGTAGCGCTGTGGTCTAAACCACTGAGTCTCTTGGGCCTGCTGATCAGAAGGCTGGCGGTTTGAATCCCCTGATGCGGTGAGCTCCCATTGCTCTATCCCAGCTCCTGCCAACCTAGCAGTTTGAAAGCACACCAGTGCAAGTAGATAAACAGGTACCCCTGCAGCGGGAAGGTAAACGGTGTTTCTGTGCGCTCTGGTTTCCACCACAGTGTCCCGTTGTGCCAGAAGTGGTTTAGTCCTGCTGGCCACATGACCACAAAGCTGTCTATGGACAAACACCGGCTCCCACGACCTGAAAGCGAGATGAGCGCCACACCCCATAGTCGCCTTTGACTGGACTTAACTGTCCAGGGGTCCCTTTACCTACACAACATTGTTCTTCTGTGTTTTTTCTGTGTTCCTATGGTTTCTTTCTAGAACTTGCCCAACCTGATTTTTGGGGAAAGGGGGAGTACAACCAAACAGTATCATGATCTCCGCAGGTGTAGATCATTTGGCACGGCGGTTCTGCCTTTCTGAAGGGGCGTAGCTTTGACACATGCACCTTAATCCAAACAAGTCAAAGGTGCTCCAGTTCAAGAGAACATATCTGAGAACATATTTGCTGTGGCAAAGTCAGAGGTATTAGTGTTTACATGGTGGCAGCAGAATACCAGTAGTTGGGAGAATGTTTGAGGTACCAGAAACCTGGAACTGGGGACTCTATAAGGCAAATAGGGTTTGAGAGAACCTTTGCCAAGCAAAAGGAGATTGGTGATTTGAATTAAAGGGCCCTCTTGCTCCTAAAGTGATGGACTTGGGCAGGGGAAGGTGCCTGGTTGTCAGGTGCTTTCATTCAGGGGCAGGCAAGCCCTGCCCTCACCTGCATGACATCAGGCGTAGGGCGAGTGGCTATGGTTTGCCCAAAACAGCTTCATGGGCCAAATGGGAAAGTCTGATGGGCTGAAAATAAATAACGAACCCTGCCAAAACAACAACAGCAACTCACAACAATTCTAATGGTTTGTCCTGGTGGCTTTGTCAAAATCAGTGTCAACCTGCCCTTTTTTAATGCATATTTTTCATAATACTGATAGCCTTGAACTTGTTAATGTCTTTCACCTGCATTTTCCAATTTACTGACAGCCTTCAACTTTTTGAGGTTGTAAAAGCATTTTGGCTCTGATGTGCAAATAATTCAGATTCTATTTTCCTGAATTCGGTAGTGGCACAACAACTATTAAAGATGCCCTTTCCTTCTCTCTGGCTTTTATTTACGTGGATGTTGCCACCCTTACCCCTCCCTTTAGATTTCTCAAGCAGAAGTCATTTATATAGGTGGATTTTGCAGCAGGTAATTGCGTTAAAATCTTCAACTGGTCATCAAATTGCATTGCACTCTATAAACAACTTCTGAAAAAGTGGTATCAATATATCCATATTGAAAATATTCCTGAAGGACTCAAGGAGTTGCTACTGTTTTTCCAGCAATAGAATTTGCAGGGAAGGAATCTGCATACTTGTATACTTCTGAATTCAGACACTTCTGGATTTTACTAATTACAGAAACCAATAAGTTTATCCTATCAAAAAACAATTCTGGTCTTTTCATGATTGGGTGTGCACAAATATCTAAACTGATGAAACTGTGAAAAAGAACTTACTCACTAGATGTCACTCTACTCCTTCAAATCTCAGATTGTGGTTAAGTCAGCCAGGGATGTTTTTCACTGTAAGTCAGAATCTCCACTCAAATAAACAAGGAATATTCGGTGTTATGTTGGAGGGGATGCCAGGAAACAGGGAATTATGTTCACATGTGGTGGGGGTGTAAATATGTACAATAATGTACAAATATGTACTTTTTTTGGCAAGGGGTGTTTAAGGAGATAACAGAAATCACTGAGTTAAAGCTGACCAAAAGTCCAGAAGCAGCATTATTATCAATTTACGATGGCCTGGAAGGTTCACAGGCTATGAAGGACTTGCTCACAAATTTATTGACAGCTGCACGAATTATTATAGCTAGGAAGTGGAAGGGGCAAGCAAAATATAAAATGGAAGAATGTTATAAAGAGATGTGGGATATAGCTATTAATGATAAATTAGCATGTGCCATTAAGGTAAGATGGGGAATATGCAGGAGAAATGATTTTGAGGAGATATGGAGGGTGCCTGTAGAATTTGTGCTGTCAAAACAGAAAGGGGTCAAATCATTGCAAGAGGTGTTGAAATTTTGGGAGGTTGGATAGTTGCAATGGAATGGTCTCGATGGTGGGGTGCACATTTTTATTCTTATTTATTTATGATTATTACTTTGTCAAAATAAATAACAATTTTGTAAAAAAAAAAAAAACCCACAAAAAAAGCATAGGAGGGGAAAGTCTCCACTTTTCACGTTTAATGGGGAAGCCACGTAACATAATCAAATATTTGTTCTCCTGTGTTTCCCCTGTGCTTTTTCCAGTCTCTTTTGAGAACTCACAAAGCCTCTGGTTTTTTTTGGTAGGTGGGGTGGAAAACTGAACAGCAGTAGTATGATTGCTGCAGGCATAGATATTTTTGGCAAGGTAGTTCCACCCTTTCTGAAGGGGCATATTTTTGACATGTGCACCTTGATCCAAACGATTCCAAGGTGCTCCAGTTCAGGGGAACAGATCTGGGGATGGAAAATAGCCTGTTGGTTCCTGCTTAATCGTTTTGGAGGCTATGTGAAAAACCCTTCTTACCTAAACAGCTACCCCTTGAGTCATCAACCTTAATCTAAGGAGCTACCTGACCACAACTGCAGTAAGGTTTCTAATTGCAGCCTGGCCTTAGGCATGTTTCCTGCAAAGTAAGTCCTAATGAGTTCAAAGGATCTAACTATAGTTTCCAAAGGGTAGTAGTCAACTATGTACATTTTACTCAGAGTAGACCAATTGAAATTAAGGATCAGGTAAATTAATTTCAGTAGGTCTGAGTAGCTTTTGGGACACGGGTGGTGCTGTGGGTTAAACTACAGAGCCTAGGACTTGCCGATCAGAAGGTCGGCGGTTCAAATCCCCACGACGGGGTGAGCTCCCGTTGTTTGGTCCCAGCTCCTGCCAACCTAGCATTTTGAAAGCACGTCAAAGTGCAAATAGATAAATAGGTACCGCTCTGGAGGGAAGGTAAATGGCGTTTCCGTGCGCTGCTCTGGTTTGCCAGAAGCGGCTTAGTCATGCTGGCCACATGACCCGGAAGCTGTACACCGGCTCCCTCGGCCAATAAAGCGAGATGAGCGCCGCAACCCCAGAGTCGGCCACGACTGGACCTAACGGTCAGGGGTCCCTTTACCTTTACCTTACCTGAGCAACATTTAGTTGAATGTCACCCATAGAATCTTACCTTAAAGATAATCAAATTTATTATGGCATAAGAAGAGACTACGGTCCATTTATTTAGCTGCATCGTTTTTTTGGGGGGGGTGTACACACACACACACACACACACACACACACACACACACTTGGCTTGTGGAGATAAGGAGCAAACTTAGTGAGAGGACTTTGGTATAACAGTTGGTTCTGTGGCCGGCCCTACCATTGGGCAGAATAAAGCAACCACCTCAGCCAACAGTTATGATGAGTGGGGTGTGATGGTGAAGTGGGCAAGGGCTATGAGGAACTTAAATAACTTTTTTCTCACTTACCTTTATATTTTTAACTATATGCTCCTCAGATTCCTTGGGCAAGGCTCCCACCTTTGACATGAAGCATTCTTGCTTCTTCTCCTCTCCTTGAAACCTTGAACCTAGGAAGAGCCTGTGTACGTTACTGCTGTACATTACTTTAACAAGGGCAAACGCATTCAGTGGGAGAGGTGAGGCAAAGAGCAGCCACCATTATGGGCAACTAACTCATTACCTCAGAAAGTTTAGATATGCCCAATGTTACCTTTCTGTAAGGCCCTGAACCTTTAAGTGCAGGTCGGTAGTGAGGCTTCCTTTAAACTTTCAAAATGGGTTATGAATTTCCTCAGCACTGTAAGTTCCCCACTTTTTTTGGTTGATACCTTTTTAAGGGCTCTAAATTTTACTTCCTGAGCATGACAACTTCTGAGAAAACTGCTGTGGAGCCGAGGTAAATGTGAAAATGTTGTTTCTGCTCCTGTCAGCGTGAAGCTCAAGCTTCAGGAGGCCACATCTCAAAAGACATTTCTGTGGAAAGTTTGTGCTATATGTTATTAATTTCACGACACTTCTGTAAATGATATCATTTTTGTGAAATCCATATTGATGTACTGATATTCATGTTATTTACCTCTGTATAAAAACTTTGCTGCGAGTCCCTCCAGAGACCTTTGCTAAACAAACTAAATAAATTAAATAGTTACATCTGTGCAGCTACAATGGTGCAGCTACTGCATCACTAAAATCCTGTTGCCCTAGAGTTTGCTATTCATATGTGAAAGCACCCCCATTCTGTTCTTATTTTTCAGGAAAAGATTATGGCAACGTGTCCTTTCCTTAGAGCCATGAAATATAATTTCCATTTCCCTCAAACAACCAGGCACACTCGGTTCCTCTCTTGCAACTCTTAGATGCCCTGTATTAGCTAAAGGGCATAATCCTGACCATAATGGATGCCTATGATGTCTGTGTCCAATTTCTGCTAAGGGCAAATGTTACTATGGTCCATTGGCGGTTGGGTCTGTTTCTACAATATTATGTACCTCAGCTTTTAAACCTTCTCTTCTTCCATGAACACTTAATCTATGGAGATAATGGTATTGTGCTGTGCTGATGTCCTCCTTGACTGATGCCCATGATTATTTGCCCATGCGAATACTTCAACAGGCCATGAGATTATGCATCTGTACAGAATATCTTCTTCTTAATCATTTTTATTGGTTTTACATATACAAAGTTATAAGCGAAGAATCGTAAAGTATATTCATATAGAGATTCCTCCAAATCTCAGGACTTCCCCCCATCCCCTCGATGGGGTCCCATTTTAAACATTTAATACTGCATATTCTTCCATATTCCAATTTTTATATCAAACCATGTTGTCCATGATAATTTTAACACTACAAGTAAAGTTAAAATCCTGCTTTTGTTTCCATCTGCTTACAGTGGTCTCCTAAATAGCTTATAATTTTTTCCCATACTTTTATAAAGTTTTTGTCCTCTTGGTTTCTGAGTGATCCTGTCAGTTTTGCCATCTCAGCATAGTCCATCAGCTTGCTTTGCCATTCTTCTCTGATAGGGACTTTGTCTTCTTTCCATCTTTGGGCTGGTAGCATCAGGGCGGCTGTTGTTCCATACATAAAAAGTCTTTTCTGCTCCTTTGGTATGTCGGTACCTATAACTCCTAATAAAAAGGCTTCTGGGTTCTTAACAAAAGTTATTTTCAGCACTTTTTAAATTTCATAATATATCATCTCCCAGAAAGCTTTTATTACCTTACATGTCCGCCACATATGATAAAATGTACCTTTTTTCATTTCCAGCAGATATTATAACTTGTCCTATACATTTTTGCATAGAATATCTTCTAAATAAAAGGTAAAGGGACCCCTGACCATTAGGTCCAGTTGTGGCCGACTCTGGGGTTGCAGCGCTCATCTCGCTTTATTGGCCAAGGGAGCCGGCGTACAGCTTCCGGGTCATGTGGCCAGCATGACTAAGCCGCTTCTGGCGAACCAGAGCAGCGCACGGAAACGCCGTTTACCTTCCCGCCGGAGCGGTACCTATTTATCTACTTGCACTTTGATGTGCTTTCGAACTGCTAGGTGGGCAGGAGCAGGGACCGAGCAACGGAAGCTCACCCCGTTGCGGGGATTCGAACCGCCGACCTTCTGATCGGCAAGTCCTAGGCTCTGTGGTTTAACCCACAGCGCCACCCGCGTCCCTTTTATCTTCTAAATAGGTTTGGGTTATTGTTACCACCATCACTGACATACCTTTACCCTGAGTGACAACAAGTGTGGTGGGCGAGTGGCGTGTTTCTCCCCTCCTGGCAGCAATGCCACTATGTTTGCTTATTTATTTAGAAGATTTGCACCCCACCTACCACTGGACTGAGCGGTCCTCAAGGCAGCTAGCAAAAGACTGTAATAACATGAATGCATATACACAAACTGAGCTGGGGATGGCAAGGGGTTGGGGTAAGCTTCCTGCAGCTATTCCTTCTCTGGCCAACTGGAAAGGTCAAGGCTCACCTTCAAACTACCATGATGTTCTTCCTGGAGGTCTGAGCCTGCAACCTCCCCATTATCTTTGGTTCCCTGCCCATAAGCAGAGACCTAAGTGTCCTTCCTTTTGGAGAAAAGCAATGGGGCACATCCCCCAGGCAAGTGTGGTCCTCCAGGCCTACAGAATTTGGCATCTCCTTCTCAGTCCTTGACTGTATTACAAAAATACATAAATCAGTAGCCTTCAAGTTAAACTCCAGGATCAAATTTACAGAGAGTCTCCACCCCTTGATTTGCTCTTTATAAAACACAACTTTCCCCCTTTCCACCTTCACTAACGGGGAGTAACGGGGTCAGTGATGCATCTGTGGCACGGTTTCAATAGCTGTGGCTTCGCCTTCTTCATCCTGTTCTTGGGTCTGCTTCTCCCAAGTATCACAGGAAGGGAACTGAAGTATGTTGTCTTGGTAAGCGTGAGGTCTTCTTTTCATTGCTAACAATGACCTTGACAGTGTTGATCTTTGCTGTTCTTCTTTCTAAATTATGTTCCTGTGAATAATTTTATGCATTTTAATATGCTAAGTAGAATTTTTTTTCAGAAGGTTTCTGAAATTTCTGAGCTTTTCTCTTCCCTCCCCCCTTAAAAAAGACCACTAGGAATATCCCACCCCTACCCCCTATTTCTAACCAGATTTTGTGGTTGCCATCTTTCCATTATTCCCATCCCACACAATGCTTTTGATGAATGATGCTAAGTACCACCACACACAAAAGCATTGTTTAAAGGATAGGGTATAAAATGTCTAAACGAGCAAGCAAGTATACAAACCAGAGCTTGAACAAAAATATTGTCTAATTGAATTTAAACTCTTGGTTTTTCTGGTCAGCTTTATGAAGAACACACAATGGGCTTGTAAGTGTTCAGTGCATTCAATATTTCACTTGACATCTGAATGTCAATGCCCAACGGTCAGCGGATTTTGCAATGCATGTTTTCTGAATATGAGAAAATGTTATATTCCCCTTTTGCTTCCTTTTTCCAACTGTACAGCACTAAAGTTGCATGCAAACTATCACTTATTCTTAGCAGCACACAACAGTATTGTTGACAGTCTTCCTTTGATAGATACCCACCCTCAAAGTCTGTTAGCTCTAGAATAGGGCTTCCCGGACTGTGGCCCATGCCCTTCCTTCAGGTGGTCTGCAACATGTCCTCATGAAGTATTCCTGATGATTTTGAATACATATTTTCTTTCTTCCATTTCCCCCAGTTTGAATTATATGAAATGCAAAGTGTAGTACAATAAGATATAAGACATGAAAGAAGCACTAGAAATATAATTAAAAATTATACAGCACAGAGCAGATTGCAAGCACTACAGTAGTTAATAAAAACCATTAAGTGGTCCACCAAGACCATCAGCAGTTTTCAAATGGTCCAGGAGAAACCACTGCTCTAGAAATTCCTGACGTACATTGTGTTCTCCTCTCAAAAGGACAAAAACTAAATTCAATATACAGCTGTATTAGCGAATCCCCTTCAACCTCTCACCCCTGCACAGAATTGCAGAGGCACAGGACCGCTAGGAGATATTCTGGCGGCTTTTTCATAGTGCATTTCTCTGATAGACGAAGGCGATAATATTATAGCCACTTACTTAAAAAGCAGGACTTACTGAAGTCAAGTCATTGGGACTTCTGAGTAGACAGGTATGGGGTAATGTTGTGAGAGGGTTGTGTGCTTCACATTTAGAGCGGCAGCAGGGCAGCTAATATTTCATTCTGATAGATTGCATCCAATTCTATTTTCTTGAAAACTAATGCAATCTTCAAAACATTTCACCAGGTTTACCGGCATGGCGACAGAAGCCCTCTTTCAACTTTTCCCACTAATGTGGTCAAAGAAGATGTCTGGCCACAAGGATATGGAGAGCTCACAACGGTCTGATAATGCTCTAAGAAATGAAAACGTATTTTGTTGATTTGTTTGCCTTTATATAATACTCATTAAGATACTAACTATTAGTTTTATTATTTTATTTAACAGAATGGCTATACTGCTCAAACGTCCAAATCTCTACAAAGCTTCTGAAACTTCTGAAACGTTGTTATTTATTATTTCAGGCTCCAATAATAGCATTGCCCATTTCAGTACAATGTACACAAACAGTAATATAATTTATGTATGGTCCACTAACCCAAATTACAGAATGTTAACTACACATTTTTTTAAAAAAAAAAAAGCAAAGAGCAATCATAGTCTAAGGTCAATTGCAGCATTTAGAAATTTTGCAACGTTCTAATCCGTGTGCTGCGCTGGTGCTGGCTCGCCAGAGCAGCTTTGTCACGCTGGCCACGTGACCCGGAAGTGTCTCCGGACAGCGCTGGCCCCCGGCCTCTTAAGTGAGATGGGCGCACAACCCTAGAGTCGGACACGACTGGCCCGTAAGGGCAGGGGGGTACCTTAATCTTTTGCTGCTGTTGAGCATGGGTTCCATCTTCCTCACCCCAAACTGAGTCCTTATAAACGACACTTCCTCATGAGGTAGTGTTGTTCCAAGAATATTGCTGTGGGCGAGAAGGGAAAAGCCATGCATCAAGCAGGATGTGGAATGGCAACAAAGCATTGTTTAGAAGAAGAAAACCTGATGCCACCATCATAAGCCCCCGCTCAATGAAGAGCAGTGAACGTTTTACTCCCAGGCTGCAGAAGTTGCCAAAACACAGCTCCCACTATCATAGTCCGCAGTTTGGGCTGTGAATGTAAATGGCGTTTATAACCCAGCTCTAGAACAGTGCCAGTGATCTGAGAGCTACAGCCATATCAGCACACATCCATAACTTGTAACAGAATCTGGTCCAGCCTCTTTTTTCAGTCTTGGAGACCTGCCACAAATCTAGATGTTAACCTTGTTCTCCTGGTGCTGCGGAAAGGAACAGGCCAAAATCCAGAGCTTAGCTTTTTCATGATGATGAAATGTACACCCAACACCGTGAGCCTAGAATACACAAAGTGTTCCTTTATCCGTTGAAATAGTCAGAAGTAGCTTGGAGGGGACGGTAAATTGCATCAATGAGTTTTACATGCATACTTTTCCTTTTCCTTTTTCCCACAGCGTGGAATGCAGCAGCAATACTTGTTGGGTCAACTCATAAAGGACAGATATAAGGACTTCTTAAGTGATGAATACAAGCGAAAGGAAGCAAGTATTGGAACTAACTTCCCCGTTTTCTCAGCAATAGCATTTATACTAATATAATGTTAGCGTCAAACTATGATAATAATAATAATAATAATAATAAATAAAATTTTATTTATATCCTACCCTCCCCAGCCGAAGCCGGGCTCAGAGCGGCTAACAACAGTAAAAGTAACACAGTTTACATAAAATCACAATCAATTAATTGAAATACATTCTAAAATCAATTCATTCTAAAATGCCGCTTAGCTATGGGTGCGTTTCCCCATGCTTGTTGGATTGGGACAAGCAAATAGAAGCAGAAGTGTAGTGATTTCCACCATGTGTTCAAAATTTACTCATAATTGCAATCCCCACAAGCCTAGCAGCATCCGCAGTGACTTTCCATCGCCAACCTTTCCCCTCCTTACAATGGCTACTATGATCATTGCAGCAGAGAGGGCGAGAGAAGGTGAAAGACCCTGTCTTTCCTTTCCCGTGTCCTCCTGGTTCTGTCCCTCCCCTCCCACTGGATTTCCAGTTAGGAGATGGGGCACAGACAGAAAAAGAAGACAGCAGTCACCAGAACAGCAACCCTGAAAGTGGGTTGGTGTGGGTATGCAAGTTAGATCTAAACCTCCCCCTGTGGAAAACAACCATCTAGGATCAAAATAATAATACCATCCTGAGCCACTCTTTCATTTTATCCTTCTCAGATTTATGTCCGAAGTACAGATTATGATCGAACCATTATGAGTGCTCAAGCCAATCTGGCCGGACTCTTTCCTCCTAAAGGAAACCAAATCTGGAACAAAGAGATCGCTTGGCAACCAATTCCAGTTCATACTGTGCCACGTTCAGAGGAAAGGGTAAGGAAACCTGTGGTATTTTTAACCTTTTCTACTCCCAGTTCAATGGAAACATGGCAACCTGAGAGGTGAATATTTCACTTAAATAGAGAGATAAATAGAGATGAGAGAGAGAGAGAGAAGTCTTGGAGTTATGATACAGCGTTAGAGCTTCTATTTGCAAAAACCAGCTGTAAAGGTAAAGGGACCCCTGACCATTAGGTCCAGTCATGACCGACTCTGGGGTTGCGGCGCTCATCTCGCTTTATTGGCCGAGGGAGCCGGTGTACAGCTTCCGGGTCACGTGGCCAGCATGACTAAGCCGCTTCTGGCAAACCAGAGCTGTGCACGTAAACACCGTTTACCTTCCCGCCGGAGCGGTACCTATTTATCTACTTGCACTTTGACGTGCTTTCGAACTGCTAGGTTGGCAGGAGCTGGGACCAAACAACGGGAGCTCACCCCGTCACGGGGATGCGAACTGCTGACCTTCTGATCAGCAAGTCCTAGGCTCTGTGGTTTAACCCACAGCGCCACCCGCATCCCTCCAAGGGCCCATGGACCAAGGCCATGGGCATGGGGAAGGTAGTCTGTGACGGCACTTGGAGCTTAAATGCACCAGCAGAAGTTACAGTGTGCATTAAAATCCCTGCTCGGAGGGGCTCACTTGACCCTTGCTGCAGTCACACTCAGACTCTGAGTAAGGAAAAGAAGAACGTGAAGTTTATTGTAGGAAATATTTGTTGGATACCACAGATCCTAGGTGCAGCTGAGGTAAATGTACAAAGAACCATGCTTGCTCTTCCATCTCTGCAGTAGAGCGAGAAAGGAAAAATAACTCCTCTCAATGGTGGGGTGAAGAAGGAGGAAGTGAGGTCAGCAGCCCTGAGAGTATCAGTCTGAAGAAAGGTCAGCACTGAAAGTCTAGCAAGCATGGAGGCTCTACTTTCTATCTCCATGCAAACCCACCAAGCCTTTAGCACAAGCCGCCCCTGACCAAGGCAACTTTTTGCAACAGAAAAAGTGGGAGTTCTAATCACACGCTACTGACTGGTTGCTCTTCAAGCATCTTCCCACTAATAATCTGAATTTAGGATGGACATGTGTATTATACACAGGCAGATGACAATATGAGGAGGTCTTTTTAGCTGATATGTTTCATTTCATTTCATTAGTTGTTGCATTATCCTGTTCACGCTCCATGTCCAAAGTTCGGTCAGCTTCTAAAGGAAACTTTTGGATCCAAAACAGTCCAGGAAAAACTGAAAAGTCAAATGGTAAGAAATGGAAAGGGAAAATCTTATGGCTGCAATCCATGCGAGTAAATCCCACTGAAATCTATAGTGCTTACTTCTGAGTAGACATACCTCAGAATGTGCTGGGAATGTCTGATAAGACAGCCAAATGCTCTTTTGTTCCTTTCCTCCTATCCTCTCTGAAGTGGAACAATAAAATTCAGGACAGATGTAGAAATGTCCAGTCACAGGCAGCCCACTAATAAGAAACTCCCCATTTGCATGGGGGTTGCGTTCCTGGCGCCCATGCGCATTGCTGGAGCATGCATAAGCCCACCCCACCTCATTAAACCCCATTATGCCCACACTCCCACCCCCGTTCCATTCCCTCTTCTGGCCACAAGATCCGCAACAATGAGTGTGTGCACAGAGGTGAATCAATCGGACACACGTAAAATGGTCGCTGTCTGTACTATTTCACAGATGTGGAACACTGAGACTGGTGTCACTATCACCAGTTGTCAGGAGCACTTTTCTTTCAAAGCAGCCAGTAATTTCCTTTGACCACCTGTTCCCACCTGTGATAAGGAGGACTGCAGAGATAAGATGGGCTTTGGCTGAATGTGGATTTTTCCAGCTTGTGGTAGCATCCCACCTGGAAGTAGTAAGAGGTTGGAAGTGTCCGTATTGGCAACTTCAAGTTGACTGGAGCTCAACAAACCCACCATTCATATCCTATGTCTCCAAGGCAATCTAAATCTTTCCCATCTCGCAGTCGAAATGACCATTGCGTGGGTCTGCCTTTGAAGGCTCTTCCGAAGCTGTAACCTGACTGGTGCAGAACAATGGCGGTCAATTTTATTTCTGCTGCTGTCTTCAGGGGCCATTGAGCATGCTCAAAAGCACTCTGGTTGCCTATTAACGTCTTTGTTATGTACTGAGTTGAATAGGATCCAAAATGCAGCAGTCTGATTGGTCCTAGAACAATAGGATTCAGAATGCAGCAGTCTGATTGGTCCTAGAACAATGCAGCAGTATGATTGGTCCACAGGAGCCACCCTATCCAGCTCCAGGCGGAAGTGAATCCGCAACCTGATTGGCCTACAGGAGAATCCCGGAATTAACCAATCACGTGCAGCCCATTTTGTAAATAATGTATATAAAGCAGATATTTGGGGAGAACTTTCATTCCTCAGGACTATGAGCTGAATAAAGAGCATGAAATCCACACTCGACTCTGAGTATATTTCAATCTTGTTTGCCAATAGCTTTCAATCCCCTTGTGCTCCTTAAGATCAAGCTCTGAAAGCCCACCATTTAATTCTGTCCTCTAAGATTGGGGGCTACTGCAGCACCCCCCACATTATGGAACTGGCAGGGCAAAACTCTGCCCCATTAAAAAATGGCAGTCACTGCAGGATCAGGCCCTACCATTCATTTGCACTTACTGGTTCATTAATCCTTCTGCTCTTTATCTTTCAGCCATTTCTAGGTCAATTAGCATCTAGCCTGGGATACGATATGAAGGCTCTTCTGGATTTTAAGAGTCACAAACTCTGGAATGCGTACGATGCTTTACTTGTTCAGGTAATTTCTAGTAAACCTATATGAAACTCATTCATCCCCAACAAAACAGACCAAGGGGTTTAGGACGAGGTCAGGTGGCACATGGCAGATAAAAGCCACACTTGTGGCAAGGTCATTAACGATCCTGCTTTCAATATTATTTGTGCTGGAGGCTGTTGTAACCATAGTAGCAGAAGCTGCAGTGGTCCAAGCTACTGTTTACATTGTGGATGAGGAACCATTTTCAGCTTCAGGGATGCATTTCCATCTAGGAAACCTTCCAAGGTAGGACCACGTATCAGTGGTGGTTTTGGGGAGCAAGGTTGTGTAGAGCTATAAATGTACATTTTACCTTTGTGCGGTTCTCAACCTGTGGGTCCCCAGATGTTGTTGGACTACAACTCCCATCATCCCTGAGCTCTGGCCTTGCTAGCTAGGGGTGATAGAAGTTGTAGTTCAACAACATCTGGGGACCCACAGGTTGAGAAAGGCTGGTACACACACACAAAACCACACACACACCTCTCTATGCTCCATATAAGAGACATTATCAGAAATCAAAGACACATTTCAGCCAAGCTAAAACACCCCTTTAGTTAGGCAGAGGCCTATTCTCCCCCCACAAAAAGGGGAACTTCTAGACTGAGTTCATCAACCCAGTTGGGACTGTGTGTTTTTTTTCTTTAACTGCCATAGACATGGGGCTGGGAGAGGAGACCTCAAAAACCTATGTAGTCTAATTCTAATCCTACAATTGTGGAAATTTATTTAGACCAAATCCCCTCTCATTGTAATATTGGTTTTATTAGCTGGCTGTGAGCCATTTTGTGTGGGCCCCAATGTGGCATGGAATGGGTTTTCCTATATAGAAACATGAAGGTCTGTGAAACAACAGAACAGATGAGAGTGAGAGAGCAAAGGCATGGCTGATAGATGAATCACCACCCGCTTTTATTTCTTTTCAACTGTAGAAAAAACATAAGCAGCCATTACCAGCCTGGGCTACTGACGAAGTCATGGACAATTTGGAAGATCTTTTGGCATTTTCCTTAAATGCAATGTTTGGGATACACGAAAGAGAAAAGAAATCACGACTACAAGGAGGTAAGAAAAAGCAAAACAAAGCCCACATCTTTCTATATGGCATGCATATTATCTAAAGGAAGAGCAACTAACTTATCTTGGTTCAAGGGCTGCATTGAAGGCTGGACACTCAGAGAGAACAAGTGCTGCGTGCCTCATGTGTAGACACAAAGGATGGATCTAGACTCATTAACAAACGTTTCAGGAAAACGTATTATAAAGCTTATAGTGAGAAGTCATGTTGCCAAAGGGTCCAACTCTACAGCGCCATCTGGTGTCCCAATGTTATAGTGCATTTAAAACACTTCCGGGGGCCACTAGGGGGCGCATCGGAAGATGGCTGACAATAATATCTCTCCGACCCACACGAGGTAATTTGGAGGCTATGATGGGAGTAATTAGCCTCCCTAACCCCCCCCCCGGACGGTGGGGGGGACTGCCTTTGCCTGTTGTGCCCTATACCACCCCCGAACTTGTGGGGATGGGGGCACTAGGCACAAAGCCCTCCTGTGGGATTCCGGCACTCCTGGACGCCGTCCCTGATTTGCGCCACTAGCTGCAAGAACTTCAAAAGAAAACAATTTGAATGAAGGAATGCACATATTTCAAGGAAGGAGGGGAGTAAAGACTGCTATAGAAGAGATCTCTGATAAAACAAGACAAGAATAAAACATGAGAAGATACGCCAAGACACGGTATGGCAAATGACTGATGGGGGAAGGGGGAAAAACTTTCCTTTCTTTTCTTATGTGATTAACAAGAATCCCCTCCCCTCACGAGTCACGAGTCAGAAATGTCGTTTTACGGACTTAAGCTGTGGGTTTAAGGCTGTGGGGAGATAAACTTTCGAACCAAAGCATGTTTTAAGAAGAGCGAGGAATGTATAAGAGCTTGGGAATGACGCAGTTAAAAATGCCGTCGCCATATTGGGAAGTTCTGTCGGAGGTCTTGAGTCTGGGAGGAGAAAGAGAGAAATAGAGCTGTTTATATATTGTGGGTGAAACTCCTCAGAGGGACTTAAGAGCGACAGCTTTGCGAGATGGAAAGAGCGATGTTATCTATGAAGGCAATGATATATGGAAACCATCTCTATTTGAGGAATAGAAGAACGGAAAATTCACACAGGATTATTATTAGTATTGGTGTTTATCGGCTTAAGGAGACTATCAGAAGAGATCATAAAGAAAAAAGAGAAAATATATAAACAAGATGTGATGTGGAAACAGCAAGATAAGACTGGATAGAATTATGAACTCTGTTTGGACTGATTTGGACATTAACGCAGTAGCAAGAAGATGATCAGAATCCCCCTTCGGATCTTGAAATATGGGTCCCCCCAACAAAATTTAAAATTTGGCTTTGTAATTCGGAATTTATGTGATGTGATTTAATTTGATTTGATTGGCCGGTTAATAAAAATTATTTCAAAAATTAAATAAATAAAACCCTTCCTTCCATTGCTAATGTAGCTGAGTCTGAAGTCACATTCCTATGTGTATATAGACCAACTCAGCACCCATATTGTATACCCGTCAACTGTCCCAATTGAATTGGGAGTATTACTAAAATGTTAGAACTTCTCTGCCCCAGCTGAAAAAAAAGGCTTTGCCAATTTACTTTAACAATTGGTTAAAGATAAAAGGGCTTCTTGGTTTCACCAGCATTTGTATTCCTTTCCGTCACCATTAAGGTCTCCTTGTGAAAGATATTTTGAATAAGATGACAGAGGCTACTGAGTCCACTGATGGAAGAAAAATGTTAATGTATTCAGCCGTAAGTATGAACATTTTAAATTGACCAAACCTTCTGTAGCTCGCATTCTCCTGCTACTTTTTGGCTCCCTCTTTAAGCAGACTATTTGGAAATGTGCTTTGTCTACTCAAGTAACATTATTTTTCTCCCTTTTATAGCATGATACCACAATAGTTGCTCTCCAAGTAGCACTCAATGTTTTCGACGTAAAGCTACCTCCATACGCCGCCTGCCTATTTTTTGAGCTATATAAAGAAGACAGTGGGTAAATATGAACTTGTATATTCAATAATTATCAGTGATTTATTGGGTAAGCATCTGCAAATTCACTCATCTTCTCAAACACAGTATTTCTTCTCACAATTCCTGCACTGCTGAAATGGGTCAAAAATCAGTTGCGTTCCCTCTGCGTTTGAGCTTGATGTCTGGCTGTTCAAAATGCTATTGAAAAATTATTTCATAGCTGAGTGGCTGAGGTGTGCATACCTTTGAAAGACAGAAAGGGGTTGAAAGGGTTGAGTCACACTTTGTGCCAAATCTACAATATTGATCATTGATGCAGAGCTGAGAAACCCCAATTAAATCATAATTACTTGAAACAGCAGGTTAGAATTGGGCAACAATGAAAAGGTGTCATGGGCCTCCCAAATGAAAGACTGAGAGATGCTCAAGAGAGGTTGTCTACCCACTTTTTCCTAACTTTTCTCGATTATTAAAGAAAAACAAGACTAAATTCCACAAAATATCCAATTTCATGAAAGGATTTCTTAAACCACATCCAAAACAATAGTGCAATTCTAGTCACACTTAATGGGTCATAAGCCCCACTGGGACTCACCTCTGAGACAACATGTGTATGATTATGCCTCAACGCACTTAATAGAGAAGAATCCCAACTGAACGCAATGAAATTTACTTCTAAGCAACTATGCCCATAATTGCACTGCCTGAAGGCTACATTCCTGGGCAGAATTCAACAAGGGCTGCCTGTAGGCATGAAATCCTTTGCAGGCTTACTTCAGAATAAACCCCATTGATATCTGTGGGACATATTTCTAAATATATATGCATGAAATAAATTGAACAACCAGGCAGCTTGCGACAAAGGGCTGGTTTTGCTTCTTTAAGTAAATCCCATCAAGATGATTAGCATTCAGTCGAGAAAATCAGCAACTTGTCTTGAGCCTTCCGTGGTTACCAATACAGAAGTCCACCCATCTTATCAGAAGACTTCTCAGATCAGTTCTTATGAAATGGAAGTGAGGCCTGGGTGATATATGGCTGCATCTTGTAGAAATGACTTCTTTCTTTGGCGATCACTCATAGCCGAGTAAGATTGTCTTACATAAACACGGTTTTAACAATGAAACCACAAGTGACTGTGGAGGCCAATTCTGGATGCACATGTCCTTCCACAGTGGGGACATTGGTTTCCAGGCGGGAATTGATCACGGTGTGGATTTGCCAAGCATGCCTTCCTCCTAGCATGTTTCTCCCTTGCGTCCTGAGTTCAAGTGTCTTCAAAGGCCATGACACCTTTGGTAAAGGCTGTTCTCCAACTAGAGCGCTTGCAGGCCAGTGTTTCCCAGTTGTCAATGTTTATACTACATTTTTTTAGATTTGCCTTAAGACAGTCTTTAAACCTCTTTTGTTGGCCACCAGCATTACGCTTTCCATTTTTAAGTTTGGAATAGAGTAGTTGCTTTGGAAGACGATCATCAGGCATCCGCACAACATAATGCTCTTAATGACCTACACTTCTTCTTTTCAGTGAGTTCACCATTGAGATGCACTATCGGGCCCAAAAAAATCTTCCACCCCATGCTCTTGTTTTGCCGGGCTGTGAAGCGGCTTGCCCCTTGCAGAAGTTTAAAGAACTGGTTTCTCCTGTCATACCAGAGGACTGGCAAGCAGAATGTAATTCTTAATTTTAGGATGGCATCATAAATGAGAGGTAAGATAGGTAGCAGGGTTGAAACGAACACATATAAAACCGATGTATCAACATTCAGTTTCTCAGCTTGACCTTCCTCACAACACCTCTATGAGGTAGATGAGGATGAATGGCCCAAGGTCAAACAGTGCACTTCATGAGGCTACCTTTGACTGTGACTCGGAAACTGCAACTAATCCCGAATGTGGCAGCTAAATTGGTGTCTGGGAGCGGCCACAGGGACCATATAACACCAATCCTGAAAGACCTGCATTGGCTTCCAGTATGTTTCCGAGCACAATTCAAAGTGTTGGTGCTAGCCTTTAAATCCCTACATGGCCTCGGCCCAGTATACCTGAAGGAGTGTCTCCACTGCCATTGTTCACTAAGGTCCAGCTCTGAGGGCCTTCTGGCAGTTCCCTCACTGCAAGAAGTGTGGTTACAGGGAACCAGGCAGAGGGCCTTCTCAGTAGTGGCCCCTGCCCTGTGGAACGCCCTCCCATCAGATGTCAAGGAAATAAACATCTATCTGACTTGAGAAGAGACGTTAAGGCAACCTTGTATAGGGAAGTTTTTAGCATATGATGGCCTCCTATGTTTTTATATTTGGGGAGGAAGCCCAGGACAACCAAGTCAGATGAACGGGATACAAATATTATTATTATTCAGGTACACATATGTATATATAACTTGTAATAACTATATGTGTATTTCCCGAAAAATATATTTCTAAATGATGGCAGTGTTGTTGGCCTTTTGACATGTTGCTATTGTCTCTCATCTTCTACCAGGGTGAAAAGTAAAATCAAAGAAAAGGCATATGAGGAAATTAACATCCCCAGGAAGGAAAGTGAACAGCAAATAAGTTGTAGGACACCAGAAACACTGCATGACTGTTGATGCTTCCGTGTGATTCTCATTATTAGGATTTTCATCTTCTCAGAAATTATTATGATCAAATAAATATCAAGCAAACAGATTCAAAAATTGACTTGAAAAACCCTGCCGTCTGCTGCATCATTTACAAATTAACGTGTGTCTATGTACTAAATCTAATGGTGGGGGGGTGATGGTTTGTGAATGCTCTCCGCAAGAAATGCCTCTGCTCACTCAGAGATACATATATACATCCTTTATTTTACATATGTACAAGCAGCACACATAATCAAGCATCCGAATCCTCTGGGTCAGATTCTCGGAGTGACTTACGTCCACCCCTTTTCCAGCAGAAGAGGCGAGGCATTCTCATGTGATGTCTCTGCCCCCTCCTCTTTAACACTCTCCTTTCCTGAGCAGATGGAACCGGCACTGCTTCACTGTCCGTGCCAGAGCTTCCTGTGCGGTGTTGAGGCTCTGCTCCAACATCTGAGAGCCTTCCCTCCTCCTGAGTTTCCCTCCTTTCCTCCAATGCCACTTCCTGCCCCCCTTCCTCTACTTGTCTCTCCTCCTCCCCTGCGTTCTCCGTCAATACCATGACGGGGGGGGGGGTTGGTAACAAAAGCCTGGGGAGAGAGCAGCAATTGATTTTGCAACCTTATTGACAATATTTTTAAAATACTGGGTTTTTTTTTTTTAAAAAAAAGTTCAAATGTGCAATTGAGCTTCATATTCTTTTTTTAGAAGTCTATTTATCAAAAATGGTTAACATATTTTGGACATTACCCCCATATTCTTCAAATATCATTCTTATATAACTGTGAAAGTGAGCACTTGTACAGTTCCCATTCATTTCAATGGGTGTTAGGACTTTTGAAGTCCCTGCTCCCATACAAGGTGTACAAGTTTTCTAGCCCCCTCCTCCCTTTTGCCAAATAAGATGAAAAGGAAACATAGGAATGTTTTGTCCTGCAGAGCATTTGCCTTCCTACTCAACTGAAACTGACAGGTGTTCCATCAACATCAGTGTCACCTTGTCCTTTAGATTTGTATTTGGCTTAATGCTGGTAACCTTGAACTTGTTTGTGTCTTTAACCTGCATTTTCCAAATTATTGACACCCTTAAATTTATTGATGTTGTCAAAGCATTTAGACTCTGTTGTGTTATGGTAAATAATACAAATAATTCAGATTCTATATTCCCAAAGTCAATGATGACACAGCTATTAAGGATGTCCTTTCCTTCTCTGTTAGCTTTTGTTTATGTGACTGTTTCTTCCCTTTCACCTCCCTTTAGAGTTCTCAAACAGTAGATATATATCTACATATCTATATCTTTATCTCTCTCTATATATAAACACACACACACACACACACACACACACACACACAATGTGTGCATTTACCTGTAATGGGTTAAACAATGAAAGGGCAGTTAATCATGTTAAAATCTACAACTGCTCATCAAATCATATTGTGCTCTATAAATAATATAGACTTCTTCTGAAACAGTGGTTATCAGGCCATAAAAAATGGCTGCAAGCAAAGCATGCAGAACAAATGTATATAGTGAATGGTTATTCCAAATCATTCCAAACTGATGAAACAGATTGTAAAAAAAAACACATGTTAATCACTAGATGTCATTATTTAAAATATCAAACTAAGGTCAAATGAAGATGTTCCCACAGAACTTTACTCCAGAATTTCCACTTTCCCCCCACTCGTGTTTTATAGGGAAGTTATATGACATTAAAGGGAGTGGGTAGCGCTGTGGTCTAAACCACTGAGTCTCTTGGGCCTGCTGATCAGAAGGTTGGCGGTTTGAATCCCCTGATGGAGTGAGCTCCCATTGCTCTGTCCCAGCTCCTGCCAACCTAGCAGTTTGAAAACACACCAGTGCAAGTAGATAAACAGGTACCCCTGCAGCGGGAAGGTAAACGGTGTTTCCGTGCGCGCTGGTTTCCACCACAGCGTCCCGTTGTGCCAGAAGTGGTTTAGTCCTGCTGGCCACATGACCACAAAGCTGTCTATGGACAAACACCGGCTCCCTCGGCCTGAAAGCGAGATGAGCGCCACACCCCATAGTCGCCTTTGACTGGACTTAACTGTCCAGGGGTCCCTTTACCTACACAACATTGTTCTTCTGTGTTTTTTCTGTGTTCCTATGGTTTCTTTCTAGAACTTGCCCAACCTGATTTTTGGGGAAAGGGGAGTACAACCAAACAGTATCATGATCTCCGCAGGTGTAGATCATTTGGCACGGCGGTTCTGCCTTTCTGAAGGGGCGTAGCTTTGACACATGCACCTTAATCCAAACAAGTCAAAGGTGGTCCAGTTCAAGAGAACATATCTGAGAACATATTTGCTGTGGCAAAGTCAGAGGTATTAGTGTTTACATGGTGGCAGCAGAATACCAGTAGTTGGGAGAATGTTTGAGGTTCTAGGAACCTAGAACTGGGGACCCTATAAGGCAAATAGGGTTTGAGAGAACCTTTGCCAAGCAAAAGGAGATTGGTGATTTGAATTAAAGGGCCCTCTTGCTCCTAAAGTGATGGACTTGGGCAGGGGAAGGTGCCTGGTTGTCAGGTGCTTTCAGGGGCAGGCAAGCCCTGCCCTCACCTGCATGACATCAGGCGTAGGTCGAGTGGCTATGGTTTGCCCAAAACAGCTTCATGGGCCAAATGGGAAAGTCTGATGGGCTGAGAATAAATAACGAACCCTGCCAAAACAACAACAGCAACTCACAACAATTCTAATGGTTTGTCCTGGTGGCTTTGTCAAAATCAGTGTCAACCTGCCCTTTTTTAATGCATATTTTTTCATAATACTGATAGCCTTGAACTTGTTAATGTCTTTCACCTGCATTTTCCAATTTACTGACAGCCTTCAACTTTTTGAGGTTGTAAAAGCATTTTGGCTCTGATGTGCAAATAATTCAGATTCTATTTTCCTGAATTCGGTAGTGGCACAACAACTATTAAAGATACCCTTTCCTTCTCTCTGGCTTTTATTTACGTGGATGTTGCCACCCTTAACCCTCCCTTTAGATTTCTCAAGCAGAAGTCATTTATATAGGTGGATTTTGCAGCAGGTAACTGCGTTAAAATCTTCAACTGGTCATCAAATTGCATTGCACTCTATAAACAACTTCTGAAAAAGTGGTATCAATATATCCATATTGAAAAATATTCCTGAAGGACTCAAGGAGTTGCTACTGTTTTTCCAGCAATAGAATTTGCAGGGAAGGAATCTGCATACTTGTATACTTCTGAATTCAGACACTTCTGGATTTTACTAATTACAGAAACCAATAAGTTTATCCTATCAAAAAACAATTCTGGTCTTTTCATGATTGGGTGTGCACAAATATCTAAACTGATGAAACTGTGAAAAAGAACTTACTCACTAGATGTCACTCTACTCCTTCAAATCTCAGATTGTGGTTAAGTCAGCCAGGGATGTTTTTCACTGTAAGTCAGAATCTCCACTCAAATAAACAAGGAATATTCGGTGTTATGTTGGAGGGGATGCCAGGAAACAGGCAATTATGTTCACATGTGGTGGGGGTGTAAATATGTACAATAATGTACAAATATGTACTTTTTTTGGCAAGGGATGGTTAAGGAGATAACAGAAATCACTGAGTTAAAGCTGACCAAAAGTCCAGAAGCAGCATTATTATCAATTTACGATGGCCTGGAAGGTTCACAGGCTATGAAGGACTTGCTCACAAATTTATTGACAGCTGCACGAATTATTATAGCTAGGAAGTGGAAGGGGCAAGCAAAATATAAAATGGAAGAATGTTATAAAGAGATGTGGGATATAGCTATTAATGATAAATTAGCATGTGCCATTAAGGTAAGATGGGGAATATGCAGGAGAAATTATTTTGAGGAGATATGGAGGGTGTCTGTAGAATTTGTGCTGTCAAAACAGAAAGGGGTCAAATCATTGCAAGAGGTGTTGAAATTTTGGGAGGTTGGATAGTTGCAATGGAATGGTCTTGATGGTGGGGTGCACATTTTTATTCTTATTTATTTATGATTATTACTTTGTCAAAATAAATAACAATTTTGTAAAAAAAAAAAAACCCCCACAAAAAAAGAATAGGAGGGGAAAGTCTCCACTTTTCATGTTTAATGGGGAAACCACGTAACATAATCAAATATTTGTTCTCCTGTGTTTCCCGTGTGCTTTTTCCAGTCTCTTTTGAGAACTCACAAAGCCTCTGGTTTTTTTTGGTAGGTGGGGTGGAAAACTGAACAGCAGTAGTATGATTGCTGCAGGCATAGATTTTTTTTGGCAAGGTAGTTCCACCCTTTCTGAAGGGGCATATTTTTGACATGTGCACCTTGATCCAAACGATTCCAAGGTGCTCCAGTTCAGGGGAACAGATCTGGGGATGGAAAATAGCCTGTTGGTTCCTGCTTAATCGTTTTGGCGGCTATGCGAAAAACCCTTCTTACCTAAACAGCTACCCCTTGAGTCATCAACCTTGGGGCGGGGGGGATCTAAGGAGCTACCTGACCACGACTGCAGTAAGGTTTCTAATTGCAGCCTGGCCTTAGGCATGTTTCCTGCAAAGTAAGTCCTAATGAGTTCAAAGGATCTAACTATAGTTTCCAAAGGGTAGTAGTCAACTATGTACATTTTACTCAGAGTAGACCAATTGAAATTAAGGATCAGGTAAATTAATTTCAGTAGGTCTGAGTAGCATTTGTGACACGGGTGGTGCTGTGGGTTAAACTACAGAGCCTAGGACTTGCCGATCAGAAGGTCGGCGGTTCAAATCCCCACGATGGGGTGAGCTCCCGTTGTTTGGTCCCTGCTCCTGCCAACCTAGCATTTTGAAAGCACGTCAAAGTGCAAATAGATAAATAGGTACCGCTCTGGAGGGAAGGTAAATGGCGTTTCCGTGCGCTGCTCTGGTTTGCCAGAAGCGGCTTAGTCATGCTGGCCACATGACCCGGAAGCTGTACACCGGCTCCCTCGGCCAATAAAGCGAGATGAGCGCCGCAACCCCAGAGTCGGCCACGACTGGACCTAATAGTCAGGGGTCCCTTTACCTTTACCTTACCTGAGTAGCATTTAGTTGAATGTCACCCATAGAATCTTACCTTAAAGTTAACCAAATTTATTACGGCATAAGAAGAGACTACGGTCCATTTATTTAGATGCATCTTTTTTGGGGGGGTGTACGCACACGCACACGCACGCACACACACGCACACACACGCACACACACACTTGGCTTGTGGAGATAAGGAGCAAACTTAGTGAGAGGACTTTGGTATAACAGTTGGTTCTGTGGCCGGCCCTACCATTGGGCAGAATAAAGCAACCACCTCAGCCAACAGTTATGATGAGTGGGGTGTGATGGTGAAGTGGGCAAGGGCTATGAGGAACTTAAATAACTTTTTTCTCACTTGCCTTTATATTTTTAACTATATGCTCCTCAGATTCCTTGGGCAAGGCTCCCACCTTTGACATGAAGCATTCTTGCTTCTTCTCCTCTCCTTGAAACCTTGAACCCAGGAAGCGCCTGTGTACGTTACTGCTGTACATTACTTTAACAAGGGCAAACGCATTCAGTGGGAGAGGTGAGGCAAAGAGCAGCCACCATTATGGGCAACTAACTCATTACCTCAGAAAGTTTAGATATGCCCAATGTTACCTTTCTGTAAGGCCCTGAACCTTTAAGTGTAGGTTGGTAGTGAGGCTTCCTTTAAACTTTCAAAATGGGTTATGAATTTCCTCAGCACTGTAAGTTCCCCACTTTTTTTGGTTGATACCTTTTTTGTTATAAAGGGCTCTAAATTTTAGTTCCTGAGCATGACAACTTCTGAGAAAACTGCTGTGGAGCTGAGGTAAATGTGAAAATGTTGTTTCTGCTCCTGTCAGCGTGAAGCTCAAGCTTCAGGAGGCCACATCTCAAAAGACATTTCTGTGGAAAGTTTGTGCTATATGTTATTAATTTCACGACACTTCTGTAAATGATATCATTTTTGTGAAATCCATATTGATGTACTGATATTCATGTTATTTACCTCTGTATAAAAACTTTGCTGCGAGTCCCTCCAGAGACCTTTGCTAAACAAACTAAATAAATTAAATAGTTACATCTGTGCAGCTACAATGGTGCAGCTACTGATCACTAAAATCCTGTTGCCCTAGAGTTTGCTATTCATATGTGAAAGCACCCCCATTCTGTTCTTATTTTTCAGGAAAAGATTATGGCAACGTGTCCTTTCCTTAGAGCCATGAAATATAATTTCCATTTCCCTCAAACAACCAGGCACACTCGGTTCCTCTCTTGCAACTCTTAGATGCCCTGTATTAGCTAAAGGGCATAATCCTGACCATAATGGATGCCTATGATGTCTGTGTCCAATTTCTGCTAAGGGCAAATGTTACTATGGTCCATTGGCGGTTGGGTCTGTTTCTACAATATTATGTACCTCAGCTTTTAAACATTCTCTTCTTCAATGAACACTTAATCTATGGAGATAATGGTATTGTGCTGTGCTGATGTCCTCCTTGACTGACCTTGATTATTTGCCCATGCGAATACTTCAACTGGCCATGAGATTATGCATCTGTACAGAATATCTTCTTCTTAATCATTTTTATTGGTTTTACATATACAAAGTTATAAGCGAAGAATCGTAAAGTATATTCATATAGAGATTCCTCCAAATCTCAGGACTTCCCCCCATCCCCTCGATGGGGTCCCATTTTAAACATTTAATACTGCATATTCTTCCATACTCCAATTTTTATATCAAACCATGTTAGCCATAGTAATTTTAACACTACAAGTAAAGTTAAAATTCTGCTTTTGTTTCCATCTGCTTACAGTGGTCTCCTAAATAGCTTATAAATTTTCCCCATACTTTTATTAAGTTTTTGTCCTCTTGGTTTCTGAGTGTTCCTGTCAGTTTTGCCATCTCAGCATAGTCCATCAGCTTGCTTTGCCATTCTTCTCTGATAGGGACTTTGTCTTCTTTCCATCTTTGGGCTGGTAGCATCAGGGCGGCTGTTGTTCCATACATAAAAAGTCTTTTCTGCTCCTTTGGTATGTCGGTATCTATAACTCCTAATAAAAAGGCTTCTGGGTTCTTAACATAAGTTATTTTAAGCACTTTTTAAATTTCATAATATATCATCTTCCAGAAAGCTTTTATTACCTTACATGTCCACCATATATGATAAAATGTACCTTTTTTCCTTTACATTTCCAGCAGATATTATAACTTGTCCTATACATTTTTGCATAGAATATCTTCTAAATAAAAGGTAAAGGGACCCCTGACCATTAGGTCCAGTTGTGGCCGACTCTGGGGTTGCAGCGCTCATCTCGCTTTATTGGCCAAGGGAGCCGGCGTACAGCTTCCGGGTCATGTGGCCAGCATGACTAAGCCGCTTCTGGCGAACCAGAGCAGCGCACGGAAACGCCGTTTACCTTCCCGCCGGAGCGGTACCTATTTATCTACTTGCACTTTGATGTGCTTTCGAACTGCTAGGTGGGCAGGAGCAGGGACCGAGCAACGGAAGCTCACCACGTCACGGGGATTCGAACCGCCGACCTTCTGATCGGCAAGTCCTAGGCTCTGTGGTTTAACCCACAGCGCCACCCGCGTCCCTTTTATCTTCTAAATAGGTTTGGGTTATTGTTACCACCATCACTGACATACCTTTACCCTGAGTGACAACAAGTGTGGTGGGCGAGTGGCGTGTTTCTCCCCTCCTGGCAGCAATGCCACTATGTTTGCTTATTTATTTAGAAGATTTGCACCCCACCTACCACTGGACTGAGAGGTCCTCAAGGCAGCTAGCAAAAGACCGTAATAACATGAATGCATATACACAAACTGAGCTGGGGATGGCAAGGGGTTGGGGTAAGCTTCCTGCAGCTATTCCTTCTCTGGCCAATTGGAAAGGTCAAGGCTCACCTTCAAACTACCATGATGTTCTTCCTGGAGGTCTGAGCCTGCAACCTCCCCATTATCTTTGGTTCCCTGCCCATAAGCAGAGACCTAAGTGTCCTTCCTTTTGGAGAAAAGCAATGGGGCACATCCCCCAGGCAAGTGTGGTCCTCCAGGCCTACAGAATTTGGCATCTCCTTCTCAGTCCTTGACTGTATTACAAAAATACATAAATCAGTAGCCTTCAAGTTAAACTCCAAGATCAAATTTACAGAGAGTCTCCACCCCTTGATTTGCTCTTTATAAAACACAACTTTCTCCCTTTCCACCTTCACTACCGGGGAGTAACGGGATCAGTGATGCATCTGTGGCACGGTTTCAATAGTTGTGGCTTCGCCTTCTTCATCCTGTTCTTGGGTCTGCTTCTCCCAAGTATCACAGGAAGGGAACTGAAGTATGTTGTCTTGGTAAGCGTGAGGTCTTCTTTTCATTGCTAACAATGACCTTGACAGTGTTGATCTTTGCTGTTCTTCTTTCTAAATTATGTTCCTGTGAATAATTTTATGCATTTTAATATGCTAAGTAGAATTTTTTTTCAGAAGGTTTCTGAAATTTCTGAGCTTTTTCTCTTCCCTCCCCCCTTAAAAAAGACCACTAGGAATATCCCACCCCTACCCCCTATTTCTAACCAGATTTTGTGGTTGCCATCTTTCCATTATTCCCATCCCACACAATGCTTTTGATGAATGATGCTAAGTACCACCACACACAAAAAGCATTGTTTAAAGGACAGGGTATAAAATGTCTAAACGAGCAAGCAAGTATACAAACCAGAGCTTGAACAAAAATATTGTCTAATTGAATTTAAACTCTTGGTTTTTCTGGTCAGCTTTATGAAGAACACACAATGGGCTTGTAAGTGTTCAGTGCATTCAATATTTCACTTGACATCTGAATGTCAATGCCCAACGGTCAGCGGATTTTGCAATGCATGTTTTCTGAATATGAGAAAATGTTATATTCCCCTTTTGCTTCCTTTTTCCAACTGTACAGCACTAAAGTTGCATGCAAACTATCACTTATTCTTAGCAGCACACAACAGTATTGTTGACAGTCTTCCTTTTGTAAATACCCACCCTCAAAGTCTGTTAGCTCTAGAATAGGGCTTCCCGGACTGTGGCCCATGCCCTTCCTTCAGGTGGTCTGCAACATGTCCTCATGAAGTATTCCTGATGATTTTGAATACTTATTTTCTTTCTTCCATTTTCCCCAGTTTGAATTATATGAAATGCAAAGTGTAGTACAATAAGATATAAGACATGAAAGAAGCACTAGAAATATAATTAAAAATTATACAGCACAGAGCAGATTGCAAGCACTACAGTAGTTAATAAAAACCATTAAGTGGTCCACCAAGACCATCAGCAGTTTTCAAATGGTCCAGGAGAAACCACTGCTCTAGAAATTCCTGACGTACATTGTGTTCTCCTCTCAAAAGGACAAAAACGAAATTCAATATACAGCTGTATTAGCGAATCCCCTTCAACCTCTCACCCCTGCACAGAATTGCAGAGGCACAGGACCGCTAGGAGATATTCTGGCGGCTTTTTCATAGTGCATTTCTCTGATAGACGAAGGCGATAATATTATAGCCACTTACTTAAAAAGCAGGACCTACTGAAGTCAAGTCATTGGGACTTCTGAGTAGACAGGTATGGGGTAATGTTGTGAGAGGGTTGTGTGCTTCACATTTAGAGCGGCAGCAGGGCAGCTAATATTTCATTCTGATAGATTGCATCCAATTCTATTTTCTTGAAAACTAATGCAATCTTCAAAACATTTCACCAGGTTTACCGGCATGGCGACAGAAGCCCTCTTTCAACTTTTCCCACTAATGTGGTCAAAGAAGATGTCTGGCCACAAGGATATGGAGAGCTCACAACGGTCTGATAATGCTCTAAGAAATGAAAACGTATTTTGTTGATTTGTTTGCCTTTATATAATACTCATTAAGATACTAACTATTAGTTTTATTATTTTATTTAACAGAATGGCTATACTGCTCAAACGTCCAAATCTCTACAAAGCTTCTGAAACTTCTGAAACGTTGTTATTTATTATTTCAGGCTCCAATAATAGCAATGCCCATTTCAGTACAATGTACACAAACAGTAATATAATTTATGTATGGTCCACTAACCCAAATTACAGAATGTTAACTACATAAATTTATTTATTTTTTAAAAAAAGCAAAGAGCAATCATAGTCTAAGGTCAATTGCAGCATTTAGAAATTTTGCAACGTTCTAATCCGTGTGCTGCGCTGGTGCTGGCTTGCCAGAGCAGCTTTGTCACGCTGGCCACGTGACCCGGAAGTGTCTCCGGACAGGGCTGGCCCCCGGCCTCTTAAGTGAGATGGGCGCACAACCCTAGAGTCGGACACGACTGGCCCGTAAGGGCAGGGGGGTACCTTAATCTTTTGCTGCTGTTGAGCATGGGTTCCATCTTCCTCACCCCAAACTGAGTCCTTATAAACGACACTTCCTCATGAGGTAGTGTTGTTCCAAGAATATTGCTGTGGGCGAGAAGGGAAAAGCCATGCATCAAGCAGGATGTGGAATGGCAACAAAGCATTGTTTAGAAGAAGAAAACCTGATGCCACCATCATAAGCCCCCGCACAACGAAGAGCAGTGAACATTTTACTCCCAGGCTGCAGAAGTTGCCAAAACACAGCTCCCACTATCATAGTCCGCAGTTTGGGCTGTGAATGTAAATGGCGTTCATAACCCAGCTCTAGAACAATGCCAGTGATCTGAGAGCTACAGCCATATCAGCACACATCCATAACTTGTAACAGAATCTGGTCCAGCCTCTTTTTTCAGTCTTGGAGACCTGCCACAAATCTAGATGTTAACCTTGTTCTCCTGGTGCTGCGGAAAGGAACAGGCCAAAATCCAGAGCTTAGCTTTTTCATGATGATGTAATGTACACCCAACACCGTGAGCCTAGAATACACAAAGTGTTCCTTTATCCGTTGAAATAGTCAGAAGTAGCTTGGAGGGGACGGTAAATTGCATCAATGAGTTTTACATGCATACTTTTCCTTTTCCTTTTTCCCACAGCGTGGAATGCAGCAGCAATACTTGTTGGGTCAACTCATAAAGGACAGATATAAGGACTTCTTAAGTGATGAATACAAGCGAAAGGAAGCAAGTATTGGAACTAACTTCCCCGTTTTCTCAGCAATAGCATTTATACTAATATAATGTTAGGGTCAAACTATGATAATAATAATAATAATAATAATAATAATAATAATAATAATAAAATAAAATTTTATTTATATCCTACCCTCCCCAGCCGAAGCCGGGCTCAGAGCGGCTAACAAAAGTAAAAGTAACACAGTTTACATAAAATCACAATCAATTAATTGAAATACATTCTAAAATCAATTCATTCTAAAACGCCGCTTAGCTATGGGTGCGTTTCCCCATGCTTGTTGGATTGGGACAAGCAAATAGAAGCAGAAGTGTAGTGATTTCCACCATGTGTTCAAAATTTACTCATAATTGCAATCCCCACAAGCCTAGCAGCATCCGCAGTGACTTTCCATCGCCAACCTTTCCCCTCCTTACAATGGCTACTATGATCATTGCAGCAGAGAGGGCGAGAGAAGGTGAAAGACCCTGTCTTTCCTTTCCCGTGTCCTCCTGGTTCTGTCCCCCCCGTCCCACTGGATTTCCAGTTAGGAGATGGGGCACAGGCAGAAAAAGAAGACAGCAGTCACCAGAACAGCAACCCTGAAAGTGGGTTGGTGTGGGTATGCAAGTTAGATCTAAATCTCCCCCTGTGGAAAACAACCATCTAGGATCAAAATAATAATACCATCCTGAGCCACTCTTTCATTTTATCCTTCTCAGATTTATGTCCGAAGTACAGATTATGATCGAACCATTATGAGTGCTCAAGCCAATCTGGCCGGACTCTTTCCTCCTAAAGGAAACCAAATCTGGAACAAAGAGATCGCTTGGCAACCAATTCCAGTTCATACTGTGCCACGTTCAGAGGAAAGGGTAAGGAAACCTGTGGTATTTTTAACCTTTTCCACTCCCAGTTCAATGGAAACATGGCAACCTGAGAGGTGAATATTTCACTTAAATAGAGAGATGAATAGAGATAAGAGAGAGAGAGAGAAGTCTTGGAGTTATGATGCAGCGTTAGAGCTTCTATTTGCAAAAACCAGCTATAAAGGTAAAGGGACCCCTGACCATTAGGTCCAGTCGTGACCGACTCTGGGGTTGCGGCGCTCATCTCGCTTTATTGGCCGAGGGAGCCGGTGTACAGCTTCCGGGTCACGTGGCCAGCATGACTAAGCTGCTTCTGGCAAACCAGAGCTGTGCACGTAAACACCATTTACCTTCCCACTGGAGCGGTACCTATTTATCTATTTGCACTTTGACGTGCTTTCGAACTGCTAGGTTGGCAGTAGCTGGGACCAAACAATGGGAGCTCACCCCGTCACGGGGAGGCTCTGTGGTTTAACCCACAGCGCCACCCGCATCCCTCCAAGGGCCCATGGACCAAGGCCATGGGCATGGGGAAGGTAGTCTGTGACGGCACTTGGAGCTTAAATGCACCAGCAGAAGTTACAGTGTGCATTAAAATCCCTGCTCGGAGGGGCACACCTGACCCTTGCTGCAGTCACACTCAGACTCTGAGTAAGGAAAAGAAGAACGTGAAGTTTATTGTAGGAAATATTTGTTGGATACCACAGATCCTAGGTGCAGCTGAGGTAAATGTACAAAGAACCATGCTTGCTCTTCCATCTCTGCAGTAGAGCGAGAAAGGAAAAATAACTCCTCTCAGTGGTGGGGTGAAGAAGGAGGAAGTGAGGTCAGCAGCCCTGAGAGTATCAGTCTGAAGAAAGGTCAGCACTGAAAGTCTAGCAAGCATGGAGGCTCTACTTTCTATCTCCATGCAAACCCACCAAGCCTTTAGCACAAGCCGCCCCTGACCAAGGCAACTTTTTGCAACAGAAAAAGTGGGAGTTCTAATCACACGCTACTGACTGGTTGCTCTTCAAGCATCTTCCCACTAATAATCTGAATTTAGGATGGACATGTGTATTATACACAGGCAGATGACAATATGAGGAGGTCTTTTTAGCTGATATGTTTCATTTCATTTCATTAGTTGTTGCATTATCCTGTTCACGCTCCATGTCCAAAGTTCGGTCAGCTTCTAAAGGAAACTTTTGGATCCAAAACAGTCCAGGAAAAACTGAAAAGTCAAATGGTAAGAAATGGAAAGCGAAAATCTTATGGCTGCAATCCATGCGAGTAAATCCCACTGAACTCAATAGTGCTTACTTCTGAGTAGACATACCTCAGAATGTGCTGCGAATGTCTGATAAGACAGCCAAATGCCTCTTTCTTTGTTCCTTTCCTCCTATCCTCTCTGAAGTGGAACAATAAAATTCAGGACAGATGTAGAAATGTCCAGTCACAGGCAGCCCACTAATAAGAAACTCCCCATTTGCATGGGGGTTGCGTTCCTGGCGCCCATGCGCATTGCTGGAGCATGCATAAGCCCACCCCACCTCATTAAACCCCATTATGCCCACACTCCCACCCCCGTTCCATTCCCTCTTCTGGCCACAAGATCCGCAACAATGAGTGTGTGCACAGAGGTGAATCAATCGGACACACGTAAAATGGTCGCTGTCTGTACTATTTCACAGATGTGGAACACTGAGACTGGTGTCACTATCACCAGTTGTCAGGAGCACTTTTCTTTCAAAGCAGCCAGTAATTTCCTTTGACCACCTGTTCCCACCTGTGGTAAGGAGGACTGCAGAGATAAGACGGGCTTTGGCTGAATGTGGATTTTTCCAGCTTGTGGTAGCATCCCACCTGGAAGTAGTAAGAGGTTGGAAGTGTCCGTATTGGCAACTTCAAGTTGACTGGAGCTCAACAAACCCACCATTCATATCCTATGTCTCCAAGGCAATCTAAATCTTTCCCATCTCGCAGTCGAAATGACCATTGCGTGGGTCTGCCTTTGAAGGCTCTTCCGAAGCTGTAACCTGACTGGTGCAGAACAATGGCAGTCAATTTTATTTCTGCTGCTGTCTTCAGGGGCCATTGAGCATGCTCAAAAGCACTCTGGTTGCCTATTAACGTCTTTGTTATGTACTGAGTTGAATAGGATCCAAAATGCAGCAGTCTGATTGGTCCTAGAACAATAGGATTCAGAATGCAGCAGTCTGATTGGTCCTAGAACAATGCAGCAGTATGATTGGTCCACAGGAGCCACCCTATCCAGCTCCAGGCGGAAGTGAATCCGCAACCTGATTGGCCTACAGGAGAATCCCGGAATTAACCAATCACGTGCAGCCCATTTTGTAAATAATGTATATAAAGCAGATATTTGGGGAGAACTTTCATTCCTCACTACTATGAGCTGAATAAAGAGCATGAAATCCACACTCGACTCTGAGTATATTTCAATCTTGTTTGCCAATAGCTTTCAATCCCCTTGTGCTCCTTAAGATCAAGCTCTGAAAGCCCACCATTTAATTCTGTCCTCTAAGATTGGGGGCTACTGCAGAACCCCCCACATTATGGAACTGGCAGGGCAAAACTCTGCCCCATTAAAAAATGGCAGTCACTGCAGGATCAGGCCCTACCATTCATTTGCACTTACTGGTTCATTAATCCTTCTGCTCTTTATCTTTCAGCCATTTCTAGGTCAATTAGCATCTAACCTGGGATACGATATGAAGGCTCTTCTGGATTTTAAGAGTCACAAACTCTGGAATGCGTACGATGCTTTACTTGTTCAGGTAATTTCTAGTAAACCTATATGAAACTGATTCATCCCCAACAAAACAGACCAAGGGGTTTAGGACGAGGTCAGGTGGCACATGGCAGATAAAAGCCACACTTGTGGCAAGGTCATTAACGATCCTGCTTTCAATATTATTTGTGCTGGAGGCTGTTGTAACCATAGTAGCAGAAGCTGCAGTGGTCCAAGCTACTGTTTACATTGTGGATGAGGAACCATTTTCAGCTTCAGGGACACATTTCCATCTAGGAAACCTTCCAAGGTAGGACCACGTATCAGTGGTGGTTTTGGGGAGCAAGGTTGTGTAGAGCTATAAATGTACATTTTACCTTTGTGCGGTTCTCAACCTGTGGGTCCCCAGATGTTGTTGGACTACAACTCCCACCATCCTTGAGCTCTGGCCTTGCTAGCTAGGGGTGATGGGAGTTGTAGTTCAACAACATCTGGGGACCCACAGGTTGAGAAAGGCTGGTACACACACACAAAACCACACACACACCTCTCTATGCTCCATATAAGAGACATTATCAGAAATCAAAGACACATTTCAGCCAAGCTAAAACACCCCTTTAGTTAGGCAGAGGCCTATTCTGCCCCCACAAAAAGGGGAACTTCTAGACTGAGTTCATCAACCCAGTTGGGACTGTGTGTTTTTTTTCTTTAACTGCCATAGACATGGGGCTGGGAGAGGAGACCTCAAAAACCTATGTAGTCTAATTCTAATCCTACAATTGTGGAAATTTATTTAAACCAAATCCCTCTCATTGTAATATTGGTTTTATTAGCTGGCTGTGAGCCATTTTGTGTGGGCCCCAATGTGGCATGGAATGGGTTTTCCTATATAGAAACATGAAGGTCTGTGAAACAACAGAACAGATGAGAGTGAGAGAGCAAAGGCATGGCTGATAGATGAATCACCACCCGCTTTTATTTCTTTTCAACTGTAGAAAAAACATAAGCAGCCATTACCAGCCTGGGCTACTGACAAAGTCATGGCCAATTTGAAAGATCTTTTGGCATTTTCCTTAAATGCAATGTTTGGGATACACGAAAGAGAAAAGAAATCACGACTACAAGGAGGTAAGAAAAAGCAAAACAAAGCCCACATCTTTCTGTGCTGCATGCCTCATGTGTAGACACAAAGGCTGGAATTAGACTCATTAAAGAAACATTTCAGGAAAACACATTATAAAGATTAAAGTGGGAAGTCACATTGCCAAAGGGTCCAACTCTACAGCGCCACCTGGTGCCCAATGTTACAGCACATTTAAAACTCTCTTTCTTTCTTTCTTTCTTTCTTTCTTTCTTTCCTAATGTAGCTGAGTCCGAAGTCACATTCCTATGTGTATATAGACCATCTCAGCACACATATTGTATACCCTTCAACTTTCCCAATTGAATTGGGAGTATTACTAGAATGTTAGAACTTCTCTGCCCCAGCTGAAAAAAAAGTCTTTGCCAATTTACTTTAACAATTGGTTAAAGATAAAAGGGCTTCTTGGTTTCACCTGCATTTGTATTCCTTTCCATCACCATTAAGGTCTCCTTGTGAAAGATATTTTGAATAAGATGACAGAGGCTACTCAGTCCACTGATGGAAGAAAAATGTTAATGTATTCAGCCGTAAGTATGAACATTTTAAATTGACCAAACCTTCTGTAGCTCGCATTCTCCTGCTACTTTTTGGCTCCCCTCTTTAAGCAGACTATTTGGAAATGTGATTTGTCTACTCAAGTAACATTATGCGCATCACATCTTTTAAAAACAGGGTTGAAAAACAGAGTGTCACTTTTTACTTTGAAGGGGAAACAGTTATGCTCTTGATGAGTCGCCCTACCCTCCTGGTCTGGATTGGGCCACATTCTGTACATTATCTTTGGGGGGCTGTAGGGAGAGATTTGGGTAGGAAAACTGCATAGCCCTCCAGCCCAAATCAGGGTCCCAACACAGCTCATGTTCCTGCAAAATAAAAGTAATTACACAGAGAAAGAGAGAGAGATGATTGACATAAGGTTTCATCGATACTGAAGGCAACCTCAGAGCTACAAATGTGAAGAAACTACATGTTAAAATACTAAATTAGCTGACTGTCTGGAACTAGCCTAAGGTCTTACATCCCCATTTTGTTGCACATTTCATTCCCTTTAGTGCCTGCTTAGATTATTTGCAAGCATGATCCCTTTGCAATATCACATGTCCTAGAGACCATAATGAGGCCCTTGTCTAAAACGGCATCTTTGAAACTAGCAGAGTCTGAGATAAGAACTCTCTTTCTATATATTCATATATACACATATGTACACACACACAAACTTCTGTCATAAAAGTTATAAGGAATTCTTTTTTCTCCCTTTTATAGCATGATACCACAATAGTTGCTCTCCAAGTAGCACTCAATGTTTTCAACGTAAAGCTACCTCCATACGCCGCCTGCCTATTTTTTGAGCTATATAAAGAAGACAGTGGGTAAATATGAACTTGTATATTCAATAATTATCAGTGATTTATTGGGTAAGCATCTGCAAATTCACTCATCTTCTCAAACACAGTATTTCTTCTCACAATTCCTGCACTGCTGAAATGGGTCAAAAATCAGTTGCGTTCCCTCTGCGTTTGAGCTTGATGTCTGGCTGTTCAAAATGCTATTGAAAAATTATTTCATAGCTGAGTGGCTGAGGTGTGCATACCTTTGAAAGACAGAAAGGGGTTGAAAGGGTTGAGTCACACTTTGTGCCAAATCTACAATATTGATCATTGATGCAGAGCTGAGAAACCCCAATTAAATCATAATTACTTGAAACAGCAGGTTAGAATTGGGCAACAATGAAAAGGTGTCATGGGCCTCCCAAATGAAAGACTGAGAGATGCTCAAAAGAAGAGAGGTTGTCTACCCACTTTTTCCTAACTTTTCTCGATTATTAAAGAAAAACAAGACTAAATTCCACAAAATATCCAATTTCATGAAAGGATTTCTTAAACCACATCCAAAACAATAGTGCAATTCTAGTCACACTTAATGGGTCATAAGCCCCATTGGGACTCACCTCTGAGACAACATGTGTATGATTATGCCTGAATGCACTTAATAGAGAAGAATCCCAACTGAACACAATGAAATTTACTTCTAAGCAACTATGCCCATAATTGCACTGCCTGAAGGCTACTTTCCTGGGCAGAATTCAACAAGGGCTGCCTGTAGGCATGAAATCCTTTGCAGGCTTACTTCAGAATAAACCCCATTGATATCTGTGGGACATATTTCTAAATATATATGCATGAAATAAATTGAACAACCAGGCAGTTTGCGACAAAGGGCTGGTTTTGCTTCTTTAAGTAAATCCCATCAAGATGATTAGCATTCAGTCGAGAAAATCAGCAACTTGTCTTGAGCCTTCCGTGGTTAGCAGTACAGAAGTCCACCCATCTTATCAGAAGACTTCTCAGATCAGTTCTTATGAAATGGAAGTGAGGCCTGAGTGATATATGGCTGCATCTTGTAGAAATGACTTCTTCTTTCTTTGGCGATCACTCATAGCCGAGTAAGATTGTCTTACATAAACACGGTTTTAACAATGAAACCACAAGTGACTGTGGAGGCCAATTCTGGATCCACATGTCCTTCCACAGTGGGGACATTGGTTTCCAGGCGGGAATTGATCACGGTGTGGATTTGCCAAGTATGCCTTCCTCCTAGCATGTTTCTCCCTTGCCTCCTGAGTTCAAGCGTCTTCAAAGCCCATGACACCTTTGGTAAAGGCTGTTCTCCAACTGGAGCGCTTGCAGGCCAGTGTTTCCCAGTTGTCAGTGTTTATACTACATTTTTTTAGATTTGCCTTGAGACAGTCTTTAAACCTCTTTTGTTGGCCACCAGCATTACGCTTTCCATTTTTAAGTTTGGAATAGAGTAGTTGCTTTGGAAGACGATCATCAGGCATCCGCACAACATAATGCTCTTAATGACCTACATTTCTCCTTTTCAGTCAGTTCACCATTGAGATGCACTATCGGACCAAAAAAAACCTTCCACCCCAAGCTCTTGTTTTGCCGGGCTGTGAAGCGGCTTGCCCCTTGCAGAAGTTTAAAGAACTGGTTTCTCCTGTCATACCAGAGGACTGGCAAGCAGAATGTAATTCTTAATGTAGGATGGCATCATAAATGAGAGGTAAGATAGGTAGCAGGGTTGATACCAACACATATAAAACCGATGCATCAACATTCAGTTTCTCAGCTTGACCTTCCTCACAACACCCCTATGAGGTAGATGAGGATGAATGGCCCAAGGTCAAACAGTGCACTTCATGAGGCTACCTTTGACCGTGACTCGGAAACTGCAACTAATCCCGAATGTGGCAGCTAAATTGGTGTCTGGGAGCGGCCGCAGGGACCATATAACACCAATCCTGAAAGACCTGCATTGGCTTCCAGTATGTTTCCGAGCACAATTCAAAGTGTTGGTGCTAGCCTTTAAATCCCTACATGGCCTCGACCCAGTATACCTGAAGGAGTGTCTCCACTGCCATCGTTCACTAAGGTCCAGCTCTGAGGGCCTTCTGGCGGTTCCCTCACTGCAAGAAGTGAGGTTACAGGGAACCAGGCAGAGGGCCTTCTCGGTAGTGGCACCCACCCTGTGGAACGCCCTCCCATCACATGTCAAGGAAGTAAACATCTATCTGACTTTGAGAAGAGACGTTAAGGCAACCTTGTATAGGGAAGTTTTTAGCATATGATGTCCTCCTGTGTTTTTATATTTTGGGGGGAAGCCGCCCAGAGTGGCCAGGACAACCCAGTCATATGGACAGGGTACAAATATTATTATTATACAGGTACACAGATGTATACATAACTTGTAATAACTATATGTGTATTTCCCAAAAATATATTTCTAAATGATGGCAGTGTTGTTGACCTTTTAACATGTTGCTATTGTCTCTCATCTTCTACCAGGGTGAAAAGTAAAATCAAAGAAAAGGCAAATGAGAAAATTAGCATCCCCAGGAAGGAAAGCGGACAGCAAATAAGTTGTAGGACACCAGAAACACTGTGTGACTGTTGATGCTTTTGTGTGATTCTCATTGTTGGGATTTTCATCTTCTCAGAAATTATTATAATCAAATAAATATCAAGCAAATAGATTCAGAAATTGACTTGAACAAACACTGCCGTCTGCCGCATCATTTACAAGTTAACGTGTGTCTATATACTAAATCTCATGACGGGCGGGGGGGGGGTAACGAAAGCCTGGGGAGAGAGCAGCAATTGATTTTGCAACCTTATTGACGATATTTTTTAAATACTGATTTTTTTTAAAAAAAGTTCAAATGTGCAACTGAGCTTCATATTCTTTTTTTAGAAGTCTATTTATCAAAAATGGTTAACATATTTTGGACATTACCCCCATATTCTTCAAATACCACTCTTATATAAATGTGAAACTGAGCACTTGTACAGTTCCCATTCATTTCAACGGGTGTTAGGACTTTTGAAGTCCCTGCTCCCATACAAGGTGTACAAGTTTTCTAGCCCCCTCCTCCCTTTTGCCAAATAAGATGAAAAGGAAACATAGGAATGTTTTGTCCTGCAGAGCATTTGCCTTTGAAGCTTCCTACTCAGCTGAAACTGACAGGTGTTCCATCAACATCAGTGTCACCTTGTCCTTTAGATTTGTATTTGGCTTAATGCTGGTAACCTTGAACTTGTTTGTGCCTTTAACCTGCATTTTCCAAATTATTGACATCCTTAAATTTATTAATGTTGTCAAAACATTTCGACTCTGTCGTGTTATGGTAAATAATACAAATAATTCAGATTCTATATTCCCAAAGTCAATGATGACACAGCTATTAAGGATGTCCTTTCCTTCTCTGTTAGCTTTTGTTTATGTGACTGTTTCTTCCCTTTCACCTCCCTTTAGAGTTCTCAAACAGTAGATATCTCTATCTTTATCTAGATATATAAACACACACACACACACACACACACACACACACAAAATGTGTACATTTACCTGTAATGGGTTAAACAATGAAAGGGCAGTTAATCATGTTAAAATCTACAACTGCTCATCAAATCATATTGTGCTCTATAAATAATATAGACTTCTTCTGAAACAGTGGTTATCAGGCCATAATAAATGGCTGCAAGCAAACCACGCAGAACAAATGTATATAGTGAATGGTTATTCCAAATCATTCCAAACTGATGAAAGAGATTGTAAAAAAAACCCCATGTTAATCACTAGATGCCATTATTTAAAATAAGACTAAGGTCAAATAAAGATGTTCCCACAGAACCTTACTCCAGAATTTCCACTTTCCCCCCACTCGTGTTTTATAGGGAAGCTATATGACATTAAAGGGAGTGGGTAGCGCTGTGGTCTAAACCACTGAGCCTCTTGGGCTTGCTGATCAGAAGATTGGTGATTTGAATCCCCACGATGGGGTGAGCTCCCATTGCTCTGTTCCAGCTCCTGCCAACCTAGCAGTTCGAAAGCACACCAGTTCAAGTAGATAAACAAGTACCCCTGCAGCGGGAAGGTAAACGGCATTTCTGTGCGCTCTGGTTTCCGTCGCGGTGTCCCATTGTGCCAGAAGTGGTTTAGTCCTGCTGGCCACGTGACCCGCAAAGCTGTCTATGGGCAAATGCCAACTCCCTCGGCCTGAAAGTGAGATGAGCACCACACCCCATAGTCGCCTTTGACTGGACTTAACTGTCCAGGGGTCCCTTTACCTACACAGCATTGTTCTTCTGTGTTTTTCCTGTGTTCCTATGGTTTCTAGAACTTGCCCAACCTCATTTTTGGGGAAAGGGGGGAGTAGAACCGAACAGTATCATGATCTCCGCAGGTGTAGATCATTTTGGCACAGCAGTTCTGCCTTTCTGAAGGGGCGTAGCTTTGACACATGTACCTTAATCCAAACAAGTCAAAGGTGCTCCAGTTCAAGAGAACATATCTGAGAACATATTTGCTGTGGCAAAGTCAGTCAGAGATATTAGTGTTTACATGGTGGCAGCAGAATACCAGTAGTTGGGAGAATGTTTGAGGTTCTAGGAACCTAGAACTGGGGACCCTATAAGGCAAATAGAGTTTGAGAGAACATTTGCCAAGCAAAAGGAGATTGGTGATTTGTACTCTCTTGCTCCTAAAGTGATGGACTTGGGCAGGGGAAGGTGCCTGGTTGTCAGGTGCTTTCATTCAGGGGCAGGCAAGCCCTGCCCTCACCTGCATGACATCAGGCGTAGGTCGAGTGGCTATGGTTTGCCCAAAACAGCTTCATGGGCCAAATGGGAAAGTCTGATGGGCCGAGAATAAATAATTAAGAAATCACCTCAGAAGCTGGTGGTCTCTTGCTTTGTCTCAGGGAACAGTAAATGGACTTTTAAACATAATTTAAAATAAACACCACAAATATAGAGAAATATTATAACCTCTATCACCCTAACAACCAGGCACACTCAGCTCCTGTCTTGCCGTCCTTAAGGGAAAGGGACCCCTGACCATTAGGTCCAGCCATGGCCGACTGGGGTTGCTGCGCTCATCTCGCTTTATTAGCCGACTGAGCTGGCGTACAGCTTCCGGGTCATGTGGCCAGCATGATTAAGTCGCTTCTGGCGAACCAGAGCAGCACACGGAAACCCCATTTACCTTCCCGCCGGAGCGGTACCTGTTTATCTACTTGCACTTTGACGTGCTTTTGAACTGCTAGTTAGGCAGGAGCAGGGACCGAACAACGGGAGCTCACCCCGTTGCAGGGATTTGAACCACCGACCTTCTGATCGGCAAGTCCTAGGCTCTGTGGTTTAACCCACAGTGCCACCCACGTCCTTGCCGTCCTTAGTTGCCCTGTTTTAACCAAGGAGCATGATTGTGATTGTGACCATAATGGATGCCCATGTCCTTTTAAAAAAGCTCTTGCCAAGCTACCTCACCAAGTACTCCTGAGTAAGCTTAGCAATCATGCAACAAGAGGAGAAGTCCTCTCTAGATCAGGAATCTGTTAAACAGCAGTGTTACGGGTGAGCAGTGAGGTGGCAAGATCAGAAGAATCTTTATTTGCCTTAGCCACTAGCCATCGCAATAAAATAAAATAAAATGTACTGAAGATAGAGGTAAAAACTTAACTGTACAAAATACATTTTGGAAGTTTACATCAATAATCAAATAATAGATCTTATTCTAATTGCCCCTGCTAAAAAACCTTACAGTTTTTGCTGTCACCTGATCATCTTGATCTGCTCAAAGAAAGGACACGGTAGCAATGGTTGAGCAACAATAATAGAGGGGTAATAACCTCACTCCTCAAATCTTTATGAAGAGTGCAAGCCAGAAACACATGAGCCACTGACTCAATACTGCCATCTCCACATGGACATAACCATTTTTCCAGTGAAATTTTTTGAAATCGACCCTCTAGTACAGCCGAAGGCAGCATATTCAATCTTGCGAAAGTGAAAGCGCGTCTGTATTTTGGAATTGTTAAATTTTGCAAAGAGGGTGCCAACGTGTCAGAATGGCTAGGTAGAAATTAATCATACCATGGACAAAATTTCCTTATTGTGGCGAAATTATTCTGTCGCTCAATATCATAGAGGCACTGTCTAATTAAATTATTTGCTTTACTGAAGCCCAGTATTAACAACTGTTGTTAAACCTGAAAAGTAAAGCTTTTGGTTGACAATTTTAGCCCAAGCACTCTCATGACAATCTTGCGATACTAAGGGTAGTAGATCAGTGGGGTTTAAATTTAGCCGAAGTCAATAATTAAATCTCCTACGCCAAATCTGTAATTCAACAGAGGGGAGATTAGCCTCCAAGTTCAATGAAGCATTTGGAACACAGGATGGAACAGGGGGTAAATTGCCTTAGGAACTCAGATTGAACAGTTTCTGTAAATCCAAGGTGAGTGCCTGTCCAAATCTGAGCCCCGTATAATAACTGTGCTTGGGGTTTAGCTTTAAACACTTCAAGGGCTGATGGTATGTGATTGCCAAGTGAGGTGGCAATGTTTGCCAAGGAGACTAAAATGTTCAAGGTTGTTAAACCCAAAAGAGATTGTGAAAGAGCTTCAAAAGGACCTCTCCAAACTTAGTGGGTGGGCAATTAAATGTAAAATGCAATTCAGTGTAAACAAGTGGAAAGT